ACTAAGGCTCAAATAGATCAAGAGGTTTATTAGAACCTAGGATTTCTTACTAGTTCTGTGAGAGTACTACTTGCCCTAAATCAGAACCTGGGAGGCTGAGCCAGCCTCCAGCAACAGGAGCATGTACAGGAATGCGTTCTGTGAGTCATAACAAATAGACAAGCCTAAGGCTTTTCAGTAGTTGCTCAATGATTGAGTATGCACTTGAAAAAATAATATGGCATACATATTTGGGTTGTTTTATGAGCATCATTTAAAAATTCTCAAGCCAAAATCTACAGAAATGGCTTGTATAATGATAAACAAGACTTGTTAAAATGTCTGGACATAGTTGGCATCTGCATGTAGAGTCTGGGGGTTCAATTCACTGCGATGACTTGGGACATTTTTAAAAAGAGCATTTAACTGACCCTAACAGTCATTTTATTCTCTTGAGTATTACATTAAGGTTTTAAACCACATAGATGTGAAATAAATATATTAAGTACAACTTTGAGTTTAGTGGAGGAGCAGTTTTATTTCCTTATTTTTAAATCCAGGGCTATGAGTTTAAATACATTTCAATTTATATTAAGTGTTGAGAAATTCGATATAATGTATTATTTTATGGATAACTCTTGACCCACTATTTCACTAGGCAGGGGACTGAAAATGGTTAGTCCTTCAACTCTGATTTCTCCTGAATCTCAAATGATGTTTTTAAAGTAGTTTCCTTTGTTTATCCTCATGTTTAATGCCAAGAAGTAGAAGTGGGGGAAGAACCAAACATTTGTTATCACAAAAGTCTTATAAAATGGTCCAGAATACATAGTTATTTCCTGGCAAGCTACCACCACCACTACCACCACCACCCCCAAACAGATTACTATGAAACCATGCAGGGCAGTTGACGAGGCATTTCAGACATGTGGTTGATCACATCACACTCACTGTGGCCGAAGCACGTATTTTGATCCCTAGCTTATTACAGAAGAGAAAGCTGTGCTTAAGAGCAGTTCACCTAAGACCACATTAGTACAGGATAATAACTACTTTTAACATTTTGATGTATTTTCATCCATTCTTCAGTGAATATAATTTTTCCTTTATAAAATTGGGATCAAAGTGTTTAAGCAATTTTGCATATCTATATTTTTCACCTTTAGGTCTCCTCCTGCCATTAAAAATTCTTTGAAAGCGCAATATTCTAACGTGAATACATATTAATTTAGTTCACCATTTCCTTACTATGGGGTATTTAAATAGCTTCCCATTTCTTGCTATTATAAATAATGCTGAGATAAATATCTCTGAGCAAACATCTCATCTACTTTAAAATTTTAATCTTCCTTGAGTTATTGAAAAGCTAAGTCAGGCCAAGCTTCACTTCCATTTTAAAACTGTATGTCTTCCTTAAGTGTGAAAACTAGTTTTTATTTTCAATTTTGTTTTTCCCTTAGTTAAAAGTCACTGAGATTTTTACCAGGACTGCTTGTTCAGATGATGGAATCTTTGAAACTGCTATACCTACACTAAGGGAATGGACATTAGCCTGTTGGACCAAGCAACTGGAATTTGCTGCATAAAGCCTTTTCACATCTCTATTTCCCAGCTATGAATGGAATTTAAACTACACGGGCTAACCTATGCCTTTACTCGTGGTGTTCTCTTCCACCTTCCATGCTATTCTGGGAAAGGGAAGAAAGAAAGGAGAAAAAAGGGAGAGGAAGCTTACTAGAATCAAAGGCAACTTGCTTCCCAATTTCTTACAGTCCTGTTTATTTTTCCAGTCATTTACCTGCTCATGAAATGAAGACCTATTAAGTGTTCTCTGTGACTTGTCATTTATGAATCTGACAACAGACTTCAGGGTGATCTGGGAGCTTTAGGTTGTAAAGCTTCATGAGGAGGCTAAAGCTTCATGAGGAGGCTACAGAACACAGCATTTCCCCAAGTCACTTGACTACAGAATCCCTTTTCTCTTTGAACACCTATTGATCTCCCAGAACTGCATTCCACAGAACATAGGTTAAAGGAAAAGCTAAGAAGGCAATGAATAAAACTCAACATCCATTCTAATTTTCTCAAGTGAAATTCTTTTAAAATTAGTAATAGATAATTTTTAATGTGATTTAATATATAAAATATTAAGCCAACAGCTAACATGGTATCTTAAGGTGAAATAACAAAGGCAGTACCATTAAAATGAGAAGCTTGATATGGATGCAAACTTCTATACAATAAAATATGAAAACAGAAGAGGAAATAAAGTAATCATGAATGTAACTGACACTGCTGTCTATCTTAAAACCTCAAAAGAATCTACTATAAAGCTGTCAGAATCAAATGAACAGATACAAAAGCAAAACACAAAAAGACCCCAGTAGCTCTCTTACATATAAGCAATGCTTAGCTAGAAAATATGAAGGAAAAAATTTTGATTCACAAGAGCAAGGGAGTATAAAATACCAAAGAACAACATCAGTAAGGGAATATAAAACCAGTATGAGTAAATCAACCACCTTTCTGGGATAGATAAAAGAAGATTTGAGTAAATGCTATGCTGAGTTCCTGCTTGGGAAGAACAAATATCCAGATGTAATGCAGTTCCAATACAAGTGGATCCCAGTGGAATTTTCTGGGAAGAAGCTAATGAAGTAACTTTAAAGATCCTCTGGAAGAATAAAAGGAAATAATGATTGACAGCATGGGGAAAATGAAGAGAAATGAGATCAGAAGGGTCTGTGCTACCATTAAGTAAAGATTATTTTAAAGTGACAGTACATGAGATGTTATGGTGGCATGTAAGAATCTACAAACAGAACAGTAGGACAGGAAGAAAAGGTTCCAAAGATCCTGATATTTAATAAATTAGCATATGAGGAAGCATATGTGATAGTAGGAAAATGTAGGGATTATTCAATAGTGTTAAAAGTACAAAAAGAAAAAACCTTTTGAAACAGATTTTACTTCCAAGTGGATTAAAGCGTTAAATATTTTTAAAAACCTACTCAGAAAAAGAAAATACAGGTGAATATTTACTGAACCTTAGGTTAAATAAGGATTTTCTAAGCATAAGAGCAATAAAAGACACCACAAAAGAAGAAAAAAAGTTAGGTTTTACCACAAATGTTAAATATACCTGCATGTCAAAAATTACAAAAAATTTCAAAGGCAAACCCTGAATTGGAAAAATCCTTATAGTAACTATGACAAAGGATTGATAGCCATTATTAAGCAAAACATTTAAACACCTGCAAGATAACATTCCAAATGAAAACCGGTCAAAGATCACAGATAATTCACAAAGAAATATAGATGGTGACTACATATTTTACACAGTCAACTTTAACTAGTGAAAAAAAAAAAAGCAAATTAAAAGAAATTTTTTTCCTATCATATGTATTTGTTTTTAATAATAATACTCAGTTTTACTGATGGTTTGGTGAAATAATAATCCTCTTATATTCTAAGATGAATATATATATTCAGGATAAAACACATATAGTACCTACATATATAAATCAGGATCATATATTAACTTGAAAAACATTTATACCTTTTGGTGCAGTAATTCATGCTCATACAGCTATTTTAAGAAAAAAAATGGAAATACAAAGACTTATAGCTAAGGATATTCATTGTAATATTATGCATAACAGCATGCAATTAGAAATAATGTTCCAAGATGAACAACAGAATATGATACATACATTAAAGTTATTTTTGAAGATTAGGTGAAAAGGCTATTTATTAAATTGTATTAATTGCATAATTTCCGGTTTGTAAGTATGACTTCTACACCTTCATTAGGTCATTTGCTAAAAATGTGAACAAATATAGCTTGAATAGCACATTATAGAAGGTTTACCAAAGTGAGCCTCCTCCTTCTGGGTTGAGGCTGACCCTCTTCAGGCTTGAAGGTTCAGTTGTCATGATTCTATCAACTGCATCCTTCCTCTACTAATGGTTCCCAAAATGTTCCCTGGGGAAGGCTGCCTAAGAATCCCTCTGAGAAGTGGTTTATAAAAACAAAGACAAAAACAGATTTCTAAGCCTCACCCACAGAGATTCTGATTCAGGGGGTCTGGGATGTGCCCCTGGGATGTATTTCAGGACTCCTGGTGATTCTGACCTGCAGCCAGATCCAGGAACCATGGCTTTCTAGTTCATAATTTCCTAAGGTTTTTAAAAGCATACTGAACATCTTTTAGAAGTAAGCTTCTAGGTAAGAGTAAAGGAAGAGAATTTTATAATTAAAAAACCTTTTCCTCCCTACATTTTTCCCAACCCACTGGCACTGCTGTCATTTGTCAGATACATGGTGTAATGAGTGGGTAAGAGGCCAAACTGCAGTGTCTCACTGACTCACTGAGCTGACTGCTGCCATCAGTGCCACACCCAGCCTGCCCTGGAGCCCCCTGCTGCCCTCCTCAGAGCCCTCGCTCCAACTCCTGCCTCCTCTTATAGACACCAGCTGTTCCCCTCTACGGACCCCTTCTGTCAACTGTTAACTTTGCCAAGGTTGTGCTCATCTAATTTAGCCAAATCTCTGGAATGTCTGTGACCAGGGCACAGCTCCGCCCCCACAGTGCCCAGCAGCTGAGAGTTTTCTGTATTTGACACTTCACCTCCCACCCATTCCTCAGCCCACCGCCACCTGGCTCCCATTACCACCACCACTTATAGACACAGCTCCTGCCAAGGTCACCCTGGCTCCTGATGCCTAATGCACTGGTTCCATTTTAAGTCTTTTCCCAGAAGCATCTGATGCTGCTGACCACCACCTTCTCTTCCCCTGCCTTTTGGGGGGGCCAGCTGCTGTTTCCCCATCAGGCATCCATTTCCTTTTTCTCTTTTGAAAACAGCACCTCCAACGAGCCACCTTTCCCCACCCTTAGTTCACATGGTTTGGGGGCTGACGACCCACTCCAAGCATGGGTATTTCATTCCTCTGGCTTTAGGGATTGGTTCAGGGATGGGCATATGGCCAACATGGAACCAATGAGACAAATCTGAGACTTTTACTGAAACTGCTGGGGAAGAGGTTCTCTTTTTTTCCACTGGGGTTGGTGAATTGGCAGAATGTGAGCCTGCAACTGGAGATGGCCACCTCCCCACCCCATGTGGAGCAACTGCCTAAGAAGGAAGCCATCATGGAGAAGGCAGCAGAGCTGAAAGATAGTCTTGGTGGTATCACTTGGGGTCTCTACTGATGTTCTTCTCATCACTTTCATGAGAAAAACTGTACCTTTTAAGGTAAGTCTTTTTTAGTTGGGTTTCTGTCACCTGGAACCAAAGGAGCCCTACGATGGCTCTGAGCCACTATCCTTCCCTGGCATTACCCCACCTCTCTGGTGACTTTACCCCAGTGTCCCCACAAGCTTCTATCCTTTCATCCCAGGCCCATGTGCAGAAACCCTTATGGACTCTACACCTGGGTGTCCACTTAAATATAGGTTTAAGTCTAAACTGATAGCTATGTCCCCACTCTTTCTCTTCATGAGTCCCCATCTCAGTGCATAGCTCCACCACTCATCCAATTATCTGAGAAAACTGGGCCTCAGCCATGGACACTTCTTTGTCCTCCCTTCCTGGTCTCCTTTGGGAGCTGATTCTGGCTCATTCCCCAGAGCTCAGCTTTTAGGATGTACTGTAAGGGGGGGCCCTTCCCAACCTCCAAGCCTGAGTGAGGGTCCCTCCTATGCCATATGCCACCTGGTGCTTCTAGTCACCCAGCTCTTGTAACCCAGAACTCTAATGGTTTGTTGATTCTTTCTCACACACCCCATGAATGTTCTGGAATAGCTAGGCCCATCCCTGAAATCAACATTATATGAATAAACACACACTAGGGTGTATAGGTCTGATCTATCGCAAATATAGTCTATTCTTCCACACAAATTAAATATTTCAGTATTTCAGAGAGATCTGCAGAGGGCATAGTATTTGGCACAGAAGACTGATTCCAGGGACCCAGCGCCTGAGTGAGAGTGAGAACCACCAAACTGGGTCCAGTGTTTCCCTAGTGGGATTTTTTTTTTATTAGTTAGTCAGGCTGCCTCCTTGTGAGCACCTTTACTTTTCCTCCCTTTAATAACTGAGTCTAGAGCTTATCAAAGGAATGAAGTAGAGCTTTGTTCCTAAACAGAATCTATTTTCCCCCTTTTTGGAAAACTGGGACATTTGCCTGCTTCCAATTTTCCACTACTTCTCATATTCTTCATGATTTCTGAACAATCACCAAACAGTTCTTGGAGCACAAGGGCAGGTTCTTCCTGCACGGTGCTCCCACCTGCCTGTCCACCCAGGTATTCACCGGGCCTTGCCTGTGCCAGGCCCTGGAGGGCCCCTCGTCCTACGGGGGTGTAAGTCCCCTCACAAATGTGGCTGGGCTCCTTCTACCATCTATGGGCCAGAGAAAGGGAGAAATAGCTGAGGAGTTCTGCTTTCTGCTAATGTTATGCAAAAAGTGACAAGCAGTGGGCCCATCACTTCCTGATTCTGTTTCTTGTTCTAATCATACCTAAAAAGTCTTTTTTCTTGCCTAAGGCATTTTTACCCTCTCAGCCTACTGTTTCAGCTTCTTAATGCTTCACATTATCCTTAAACTTTGTTTCCACTCTTGCATATGGGACTCCTGCCTCCTTTCCTCCTATTAATTAATATGGATTAATATTATATATTAATATTTTAGTTTTAAAACACAATTTCTTTATCAAGCATTTTATAGGAAGATATTATGCCTTTTTTTTTCAAACTTAGCTTTAATGTTCTGAATAATGAACGTGTTTATACATCGACAATAATATATAGGGAGGAAACCACATAAGGAAAAATTTTTTTATTCTTTCTTTCCAAAAAACCACATAGGAATTGTGGCTATTTGTACTCCCCTTTCTCTCATGGCTACTCCTTAGCTCCTCTTGTCCTTGTGTCCTTTTAGCTTATTTCCACTTTTTTTCCTTTGTTTTTCTTCCTGGCAGCCATTTTTATTTTAAATTACTGCACACAGATGCAGAAACTACTTGACTGGCACTATTTGCAGAATTATAGAACTTAAATCACAGGATATTGTGTATTGGAAGACTGAAGTGCTTTGCACTTTTGAGATATAATTCATGCACCAAAAAATACACCCTTTTAAAGGGTCCAGTTCTGTGGATCTTAGTATATTCACAAAGTTGTGCAACTAACACCACTATCTGACTTCATTTCATCATACCCCAAAAGAAATCCTGTATGTATGAGCAGCAATTCTCTATTCCTTTTGCAAGGTGGATATTCAGTTGTCTGATCATCATTTATTTAAAAGAATATTCTTTCCCCCAATGAATGGTCTTGGAACCTTTGCAAAAACAGATTTGGACTCTCTATTCTATTCAATTGATCTATATGTCTATCCTTCTGCCAGTAACACACTGTCTGTTTACTGTCGCTTTGTGGTAAGTTTTGAAATCAGGAAGTGTGAGAACTCCAACTTTCCTCTTCTTCAAGACTGTTTTGGCTATCCTGGATCCCTCACATTTCCAGGTTAGTCTGAGGATCAGCTCACCAGTTTCTGCAGAGAAGGCAGTTGGGATTTTGGGAGAGATTGCACTGGATCTGCATATCTCTGAGTAGTACTGCCATTCTAAGAATATTAAGTCTTCCAACCCATGAACATGGGATGTCTCTGCATTTTTTAAAGGTTTTCTTTAATTTCTTTCAACAATGTTTTGTGGCTTTCAGTGCATAAGTTTTACACTACTTTTGTTAAATTTATTTCTAAATATTTTATTTTTTAGTTGCTACTACAAATGGAATTGTTTTCTTAATGTGTTTTTCAGATTGTTCATTACTAGTGAGTAGAAATACAGTTGATTTTGTATATTGCTCTTGTATCCTGACACTTGGCTGAACTCATTTATTAGTTTTAAGTTGTAAGAGTTTAGGATATTCTTAAATCCTTAGGATGTTCTATATACAAGATCATGTCATCTGTGAGTAGAGATGGGTTTACTTCTTTCTTTCCGATCTATATGCTTTTTCTTTCTTTTTCTTGCCTAACTGCTCTTACAAGGCCCATATAGCTTCTTCAGTGACTTCTCTTTTATCCTCAGAATAAATCTGGGAGGAGACAGGGTGTAGGGGGAAGAGAGAAAGTGGAGCTTTAAAAAATCAGAAGTTACAACTATGTGGTTTGGTTTGAATTGATTTTTGGTGAGCCTCACATCCTCTCAGTGAAATGTCTTTCTTCAGAGCATGTGGGCTCAGGGGTTTTCTGGGGTAGCATCTGAAATTTGTTTTCTTCAGGTTTTGGACACAAGCCTGGTGAAGCCTGACATCTACCTTCTTTGGCTGTTACAGAGTCTAAGCCCACATGGCCACTTGGCCTATGCCCATCTCCTCTCCTTCTCTGGCAGTTCTTCCTGTTGCTCAGAGGTAGAGCACCAACAGTTCCTCTCATCGCATCCTCTGTCTTCTCAGAAAACTGTCAGTGAGACAATGGGGTTTACCAGCTATTTTGCTTCTGCCAAGGAGACTTTGACAAATATCTCCATCACATCTGAATCTCCTCTGAGCCCATTTTGTGATCCAGGTGAGCAAAGTACCCCATTCATCCTCTCCCTGCCCTTGGCCCCTATGGTAAGCACGTTTCCTGACACTTGTGAGCTCTTCAGCCACCCCAGCTAGGAGACCTTTTTATTAGAACAAGGCTCACACTTCATTTCCTCACTCCCAATGAATGTCCTGGCTCACTATGTCTTAGTGGGGCTCCCAGTTCTTCCCAGTCATGGGACAAAGCAGGGGAAGAGTAAGGTTTCATTAAAGGTGTGGAATGCACACCAAAGGCCTCGCTGAGTAGCTTTACAATGAGAAGTTTCCCTCCTTATCATGCAGGCTCTGTGCTGCCAGTGACCTCTAGGGATGTGCAGGAAGCCAGGTGGATAACAACCTGTAACTAAGTAGACAGGTGCACCCATAGCCAAGTGTGAGCTTCCAGTGCTCCATGGCTAGAAGCAAACAACCCAGGAACTGACCAGCCTCAGAGCAGACAGCCACAGATGCAGGCAGGATCCAATGTGGTCAGCACCCCAGACCAATCCCTCTGCTCCCCAATTTCAGTGCAGGACGCTAGAGGGTAGTTGCCCTTTTGTTTGGGGCTTTCATTCCAGGAGCTAAATCTCTTCCTCCTAGCTCAAACCAAACTGAAATCACACTCAGGTTTCTGGGGCCTCACAAGCTTCCTGCTACCCTGATTTTCTTCTAATTTTACAGGTCCACTTTGTGTCTTCTGTCCAGTGACAATGTCACTCAGGCCAGGGAAGGTCTCAAGAGCAAGAGACTTACGGGTAAAGTGACTCCTCCCTCAGCCTGGGTTGCACGTGGCTCCAGCACCTACTGTAAATTGGTCTATTTAGATAGAGTCAAATTTCAAAATCCTTCCTAAAACTATGCTTAACCATTCCACAAAACTCCCTCCAAAGATAAAACAGAGAGAAGAGTGACAAAGAATATAGTGAAATAGTAAGCTGAAAAAAACAAGACCAATTCGTGTTCCTGTGAGCTGTGCTCTCCCGCCTTAGGCTTGCTTATTATCCAGGCTACGAAGCAGAGAGAGGACCACATCATGCCCAGGTTGGTGCGGCATCAACAGGGGCTTCTATTCACACGTGGCACAATAAAGCTCTCATGGCGCAGACAGGAGGAGCTGGCAGGGGTGCTGTGAACATGCCACGGCTAATTATTATAATAATAATATCTGCTTATCCTTTGTATACTGCAAAAGGTCCACATCCCACTCTTGTACCACTTGGTCATAATACTGTATTATCCCATACATTTAAAAACTGGTTAGTGTTACTGAGATCTTAAATGTGTTGTTTGTCTCTTGCAAAGCACCAGTTACTGCCATATTTCTGTGATTCATTTTGAGTGTCTGGGGTGATATACTTAATACTATTTTCAGCTGTTTAATAAGCACCAAATAAAACAATTTTTGTATTATTTTCTTCTGTCTTCCTTTACAATCTACTGTCTAGAACTATATTTCAATGGAGTGTATATTTGCTTTGCTAAATTCATTCATAGTGTATCTGCAGGCCTGGATTGAACATATGTCCTGTAATGACAACTACTTTATTTGTAGGAACTATTTAGGTCACTGGAGCAGAAGAAAAGAAGCCACTACTTAATTGAAATGGCATATATCTAAATATAGATACTCTTCTGAATATCTGTTGAACATCAATGAATGATGGAGAGATTGTTACAATTTCCAAAACCTTAAATAATTGGTCACTTTGTTTCAACTGACACAGCTTAACCCAGGAAAACAAGTCTCACCACAGAAAGTGGATCTTAATATGTCAGCTGCTTTAGAAGTAAAATAACTTCTTCAAAAACCAATCTGTTTCCCTGTAAATTATTTCCCATGAAAAATCACTTTGGATGAAGCTATATGACTTGAACCTTAGGACACACACAGTAATTGTTTTTTGGAGACACAGCGAGCATGACAAATGTTTTCAGTTGTCAAGGGTGAACGAAGAGGCAATGACCCGTCTAAGAAAAGGAAACTTACGACTAGTAATATGACACTCCCCCTTAGTTCCACTGGGCGCGGGGCTGGCGTGGCTGCTGCACACAGCTAACTTCCTATGGTCGGGTAAAAGCGAGGCTGTGCCAGAGCTGAATGAAAGCGGCCTGTCTATCCCTTCCCCCGAAACCCTGTGGTGGGGGGTTGCACGCCAGGAACTCAAGGGAAGGGAGCATGGTCAATACCCTCTACTGTTGCCATTCATTCATTCATTCATTCAATAAAATTACGCGCCCGGCACTGGCTAACTCTCCAACTCTGACTCAATAGCCCATTCTGATACCCCATACTTTTGTCCCCATTCCCAGCCCTAGACTTCACTCGTCACGAAGTTGCTTATTATAGTGTCGCTCTCCCTGTCTTCCCCGAGTCCCCAGGCCAGGGGACAAAGTCAGCCCAGAAGAGTGTCTTTCCAAGAGCAGGGAAGGAGGGCGTGCTACACGGAGAAGGGGTTCCCGAGACCCTCCTGCCCGTGTGGGGGAGCGTGTCCCTACTCCCGCGGCCGTGCCCCGGGGCGGGCCTCGGGCACCTGGGCAGCGCGTTCGCACGGGAAGCCTGAGGTCACGCTGATGCTGGAGACGGAAGCAGCGAAGAGGGGGTTCCGTGAAGGGAAGTGGGTGCTGCTGGAAGCCGGAGGGCGGCGGGAGGCTGGTGAAACACGCGCACACGTGGGGAGGGCCACGTCCACTTAGGTGGTGGGAGGCAGGAGTCCAGGCAGAGTGCGGGGCGGGTTACCTGATGAAGGTGGTCTTCCCCGTGCTGTACTGGCCCACCAGCAGGATCATGGGCTTGTTCTCGAAGTCGGCGTCCTCCAGCGCGGGCGAGTGGAACTCGTGGAAGCGGTACGCCTCCTCCAGCGGCAGCACCTTGCGCAAATAGAGTGAGCGCAGGCCGCCGGTCACAGTCTGTACCGCATCCGCTCCGCCCGCGCGCTCGCGCCCGCCCGCCTGCCGCCCCATCCAGCTGAACATCTTGCCGCCGTCCGCGACCCGCGCCTGCCCGCTCTCCCTGCTCGCCCCACCGCTGCTCGCACTGAGCCGCCCCAGCGGCGCTCGCTGCCGCCCGAGCTGGCCCCGCCCCGCGCGGTCGCAGCCAGTCTCAGGTGGCTACGTCACCAGAACTTGCTCACTATTCAGAAGAGCTCTCCCAACTCCTTCCTCATTGGGCCACTGCCAGCGGGGGTGGTGGCGTCAGCCAATGGAGAGGAGGTTCCTAATGAAGTATTGATTATGGAGTCCTTCAGACTGGGCTGTGTCTCCAGCCCGGAGGCTCAGGCGCGTCTTCCGCGGTCTACGGTTTGGTCCCCCGGGCCTCACCTCTGGCCAGGTGGCGTCGGCTTCCGGGTAATCTGAGCTGGCGAAGACGGACCTCCGGAGTCTGCTTAGTATCCTGAAGCGTTTGCTCGCCCCAGCCTGGGGACGTGGAGACTGGGAACAAAAGTTCGGGAAGTTGACAGGCAGGTTCTTTCTACCCGCTGGCAGGTTATTATTGTCATCATTTTATTCATGAAGACTCATGGACATAATTGACAAAATTTGAAATAGGGGGAAATATTCTCGATCTGTTTGGGTGGATGTGTCTTCTACTTCTCTCCGCTGCCTGCTCTAAATTCTGGATCGATTGAAGGCCTTTTGCCCTTAGTTTTCATTTGATTTTCTGTGAAATCAAAGATTTAGTCAACATCCTCATTGTAACAACCTAATTTGCACAAATTGACATGTAAGAAAGTTGTTACCTCCTTTTTCAGGTTAAAAGCACACATGTAAGTTGAGAAAGGGAGACATAATCAGCCACCACTTTTGGTGTCCCAGGTTACAGTCTTAGAGTATTTTGCAAGTGTTTTAGAGCATTTTTCAAGTGATCCATGGGGCCTCCAGCATAAGAATAATCTGAGAGGCTTGTTAAAATGCAGATTTCTAGTCTTCACCTCAGACCTACCAAGTTAAACTATTGAGGAGGGATGGAGCTCAACAAGTGCCCCAGAGTTTTCTGAGGTACTCTAAATTTGGGGGAATATGTATCACAGTAGTACTTCTGAAACTTGGTAGATGTGCAGATTCTGATTCAGTGGGTATGGGGTGGGACCCAAGATTCTACATTTCTAACAAGCTCCCAGGTATGGCCAGTGCTGCTTGCCCATGGACCATAGTTTGATTACCAAGGCTGCCGTGAAGAGAGAACAGGACTTGGCATCAAAAGACCTGGTTTGAATAGTGACTATATAAATTAATGGCTATGTGACCTTAAATGCAGTGAGTTGCCTCTCTGCCTCAGTTTCCTTGTTTGTAAACTGGAAACTCACTTGGATTTGTTGTCCAATATTTAGAGGAAGCTAAATGTAACTAGGAAAGAAAGCCAAGGGTAAATGAAGTTAGATTATTTGCCTCATGTCAAAACAAAAGATTGAAATGAAAAAAATAATGAAACCATAGAACTACTAGAGAAAGAGACAAGTGAAGATTTATAAAATTTTGGAAAGGAAAAACCTTTCCAACCAAAACAAAAGACAGAAATTTTGATAAGATTTGTCAACAAAGTAAAAGCTAATGAAGGGAATAAAGAAGTACAAACTTCCAGTCATAAAATAGTCACAGGGAGGAAAGCACAGCATAGGGGGAAAAAGTTAAAGCCTCAGTATGGTTTTAAAAATACATAAAAGCATTTTGTTAAAATATCAATTTTCTCCAAACTAATGTGTAGATTTAGTGTAATCCTGGCAGGCTTTTGTTTTTGTAGAAATTGACAGTGTTTGATTTCTTGATCTGGATGATGTTACATGAGTGTATTCACATGCCAAAATTCACTGAACTGTACAATAAGATCTGTACATTTTATTGTGTGTACTTCAGTTTTAAAAATTCATATGTAAATGCAAAGGACCTCAAATGCCCAAAACAACTTTGAAAAATAACAAAGAGGACTTACACTATCTAATTTCAATGCTTATTATAAAGCTATGGAAATCAAGACAGTGTGGTATTGATGTAGAGATGGACAAATATTTCTACGGAACAAATAGAGTCCATAAATAGATTCCCACATATATGGTCATTGATTTTTGACCAAGTGCAAAGGCAATTCAAGGGACAAAGTAAAGCCTTTTTAACCAATTGTATATCTATATGTGAAAATATAAAATTTGATATATACCTTGCACGATATGTAAAAATTCAAAATGATTATAGACATAAGTATAAAGCTTAAAATTTAAAAACTTCTAGAAGAAAACATAGAAGATCTTTGTGGCATTGTATAGCTTAAAGTTTCTTAGATGATACCAAAAGCATGATCCATAAAAGAAAAAAATTAATAAACTAGAGTTCATCAAAATTGAGAACTTCTGACCTTTGAAAGGTACTGTTAAGAGAATGAAAAGACAAGGCACAGATTAGGAGAATATGCAAATCTCACAGCTGATAAAGGACTTGGACCCAGAATATACTTTTAAGTGGAAATATATTAAGACCTCTCAAAACTCAATGATAAGAAAACAACCCAATTTAGAAAATTGAAAAAAAAATTTGAACAGATACTTCACCAAAGATGTATGGATAGCAAATAAGCACATGAAAAGATGTTCAACATTATTAGTCACTAGGAAAATGCAAATTAAAACCACAGTGAGATACTACTACCAATTAGAGTGTCCAAAATTAAGATGCCTGACCACACCAACTGTTATTGAGAATGTGGAGCAACTGGAACTCCATATATTGCTAATGAAATATAAAGTGGTACAAACTTTGGAAAGGTTTGCACACCAACTGTTATTGAGAATGTGGAGCAACTGGAACTCCATATATTGCTAATGAAATATAAAGTGGTACAAACTTTGGAAAGGTTTGGCAGTTTTTAAAATGTGAAGCATATACCTATCACATGACCCAGCAGGGAAGGAGCAGAGGGCATGAGAAAATTTTGGGGGGTAAAGGATTTGTTACTTTGATTGTGGTGATGGTTGTAAGTTGTATACATCTGTTAAAACTCATCAAATTATGAACTTTAAGTATGTGCAGTTTATTGTATGTCAATTATACCTTTCTTATTTGTTAGAAATTCTCATACTTCTTAACTCAAGAATTCTATTCTGAGGAAATTGTGGATGTAAAGCTTTATCTAAAGAATGTTTATCAGCATATCATTTATAATAGTGAAAAGCTATAACTAGATGTTCCCTCATGGAGGATAGTTAAGTAGATGATGGATTCCTATGCAGTCTCAGGATATTGTGTCCTATAAGAAGAACATTTCTGACCTGGGAAAATGCTCAGAATGTATTTTTAAGTGGAAGAAAAGTCAGATTACAGGAGTAAACACATGCAATTGCTATGGAAAACAGTATGACAGTTCCTCAAAAAAATTAAAAATAGAACTCCCACATGTTCCAGCAATCCCACTACTGGGTATATATCCAAAAGAATTGAAAGTAGGGTGTCTAAGAGATAAATAGGGTCTCTAAGCATTTTTCACAATAGTTAAGAGGTAGAAAAAACCCAAGTATCCATTAATGGATGAATGGATAAATAAAATGTAGTATATTCATACAATGAAATATTAGTCAAACTTAAAGAGGAAGGAAATCCTGTCACATGCTACAATCAGATGAACCTTGAAAACACTATGCTGAGTGAAATAAGCCAGTCACAAAGAAATGGAGAGTGTGTGATTCCACTTATATGAAGTATCTAAAGTAGTCAAATTCATAGAAACAGAAAGTAGGTGGTAGTTAGCAGGGGTTGGGGGGAGGAGGAAATGGGGAGATGTTCAATGGGTACAGAGTTTTGGTTTTGCGAAATGAAACAATTCTGGAGATCTTTAGCACAATCGTATGAATATAGTTAACACTACTGGACTATATACTTAGTTAAGATGGTATATTTTATGTTATGTATTTTTTACCACAATTAAAAAAAAGGGACTGTATAGGATTTTTGTACTTTTGTATTTAAAAAAATAAAGCACCATGGGAAAGATGGGAAAAATAAACCCCCATACAGTAATGATCTCTGAGTTTTGGAATGAGAAATTATTTCATTTCCTTCTTTATGTGCTTTAGCATTTTTCAAACTTACACAATATCATGTTCTTATTTTATAATCAGAAAAAAATTTAAGTAAGATAAAGATTTGTCTTTAATCCTTAAAAAAAGGCAGGGTCCCCAGTGAATCATGAAGTGCCATGCCAGCCTTAGACTGCCTCCCAGTGGGCTTGTTCTACATGAATGTATTTAAGCCACTATTTGTCAGGTCTCAGTCAGAAATGACAGTAATTCTTAACACTGAATTTGTTGCTAGAAATGGAGTCTGAAGTAACAATACAAAATGTGACATTTACTTAGTGAAAGAGTGTGAAGGTCAACATTAAGGATTCAATTATTGCAGGTTAGGATTTAAAACATGGCCATACATTTTTTTGACATGTCTTCTAGCAAGAGATGGGAACTTTGTCCCCTCCGGTATATCTAGGCTGGCTTGTGAATGCTTCTGCCAACGGAATACTGTGGCAGGAATGCTATGTTACTTCTGAGACTACGTCGTAATACGCCCTGATGTTGCCACTGTGTAATACTCTTGAGCACTGAGATGCCGTCTAAGACTGACTATAGTGAGACTACCATGCTGGGGAGGCCACAGGAAGGTGCTCTGACAGATAGTCAATCAAACTGAGCCTGTCCTTCTTCCTTCCCAGCCTTTCCAGCCCGGGCACCAGACATGTGAATGAAGAAGCCATCTCAGAAGTGGACCCTTCAGCCCCTGCTATTCCAGAGCCCAGACATCTGAGGCCCCTTCAGCAGTTCAAGTCATTTGAGCTGAGGCCCCACACATGGATGGAGTGGACAAGAGTTGTCCTTGTGGTCCTTGTGGTGCCCTTTTCCAAATTCCTCACCCACAGAATCTGTGGGCATGGTCAAATGGTGGTTATTTTATGCCATTATATCTTGGGTTTTTTTTGTTCACCACTAGATAACTAGAACAAATGGCTGATAATTCTTATCTTGTTAAGATAAAAGTTTAGTTTTCTGTCACAGAAAAGAAGTTCAGAGTTGGGCAGACCAGGGCTGGTTGGGTGTTTTCACAGCCAGCAGGAATTTAGATTCCCTTTATCCTCTCTGCTGCCTGGAATGTGGACATGATGAGTGGAACTCCAGCAGCTGTGTTGGACCAGAAGGCAAACTTGAAGATAGCACAAGCAAGAGTTGAAAGGTCTTTGACAAGAAATAGAGAAATAAATGTTCATCTTCTTTAAGTCACTGTATTTTTAGATCTTTTGGTTAGGTAGCAAAAGGAATGCTAACTGGTATAGAATTTGAATATATGAATCAAGAATTTAGGAAATCTGCTTGGTTAGATCTAAAGGTCTGAGGGTTTTCAAAATAAAAGTGGTGGCTAAAGTCTTGGGTGTAGACGAGATAGCCTAAGGAGAGTATGGAGTAAGAAGAGAGGACTAAAGAGAGAAACTTGGGGGAATACCAGCAGTTAATGGAGAGTAGGGCAGGTGAGGCCAGAGAAAGGAGTTGAACATGGGAAGAAATTCAGGACAAAAGTTATCTAGCAAACCTGGCCCCTTTCCTCTCTGGCTGGGTTGGCAGCTCCTAATGTGTACCCCATGTGTACACAGCTCATATGGAACTTTTTGTATTGCAAGTCTGTTTCCATGAAGCCCTCCTACATGGGACCAGAAGGAAACTCCTTGAAGTGTGGGGTCAATTGTTAATCCTTCCCTTTTTATTGTCCTGGTGCCTACTGCAGTGGTGGGAAGGCAATAAATATTTGAAAGCGGAACTGAAAAGAACTGCTGTTGGCAAGGAAGTCATGGGAAGGGAGGGTTTCAGGAAGGAGGGCATGGTCTCCAGTGCCAAATGCTGAGAACAATCAAGTAAGATAAAGCCTGTAAAGGGCCCGTGCCATTTGGCTCAGTGTATCTGGCAATAAGGAGGACATTGGTGACCTCAGGGAGCGGTGTTTTCGTGGGAACTTAGGGGGAGAGACCATGGGCGTGGTACAAGGTGGCTGGGTTGTGTGGCAGTGCTGTGTGCTGGCTGCTCTCAGGAAGGAAAGGGGAGACAAGGAGGGAAGGCGCTGGGGGAGACAGGAATTTTCTTTAATTTTTGTACTGAATCACATTGCAGAGACCAGGAAACTCAGGTGGGAGCCTTCCTGACCTCTGCACTGTGCCCGAGCTCCTCTCAGGGCTGTTAACATTCTGTCCTTATTGCTTGCCTCGCCTTTGCTCATCTGCTCTGTGACATCACCAGCATTGTTTTAGAAGCTAAGTCCCTGCTTAACTCCTTAAGTCCATATAAAAATGTTTTCAGGTTTTTCCCTCCAGTACAAATCTGAGTTCTCAGAAAGCAGAGCTGCTTATTGACCCAATGCCCCAAGCAGGTGCACCCCTGCTGCTGGCTGCCCTTCCTCCCTGTCACCAAGGCTTCCTGAAAGCCATCTGAGCTTCAACAGCAGGGTTAGCAAGGCTTGGCACCCCACTGTTGCTGCTGTGGCTTCATAAACATAGAGAAGCTATGCTGTCACAAAAAAGCAGGGGGAATTCTGGCAGAAGGAAAGGAGGCCGAGGGGGAGGGGGAGGAGGGATGGGCTGGACATGGCCTTCTCCCCCCTCTGGCTGTGGAGTGTGGGAAGCCCAGGCAGCGATGGGAGTGGGAGTCATGCAGGTCTCACAGCAGCAGATAATGAAATGATGAGTCAATGGCATTTACCCACATGGCCACTTTATTCCATGCTCAAATAATACAATGATTATATAACCCTCATTTTTCAGACTTTGATGAATCCAAGGAAGGGCTGCCTTCATCTTATAATACAGGTCTTGCTGTATGGCTCACTCTGATAATCTAAGGAGAGCCTTTTGTAGCAGAAGGAAATAAAAGATGTCAAAGTGAACATCTTTTGTCCATTGTCCCACTGGCTGCTCTGGAGCAGGGGAGGGGTCATGTCCCAGGTTAGCATTATCTGGGTGGGAACCAGTTTTTTGGTGGTTTGGGAGAGTTGATTGATTCATGCTTTCCAGGCTTATGGGAAAGGATGGCATAAATCCACACCTCTCAAGCTTCAATATGTATGGGCATCCCCTGGGTAGGGAGGAGTAGAGAGGAAATGGGAATCTCCTTAAAATGCAAATTCTGATTCAGTATGGCTGTGGTGGAGACTGAGATTCTGTATTTCTAACCAGTTCCCTACCACACTTTGAGCAGCAAGGATGTAAATTGGAGGCCAATTTTTCTAAACCCTTGGTATATGTCACCACTTGTCTCCTAACAATCAAAAGACTGCTTAGGGAACATGGAAGCCCAGAAAGATGGCCATGTCTTCTAGGTTTGCTGGGCTTCACGTCTACCACTTGCCTTTTTGGTCACACCACTCATTGGCCTGGGCATGTCATTGGCTCAGAGTACACATTTCTTTAGTTACGCTCCCAGCCTGCTGGGAGACCTGGATACTGTGTGCTTCTCTGGGTCCCAGGGCTTTCCCAGAGATTCATCTGGAAACCATCCCAAGGATGGGCTTCTTCCTCAGGCTAATCTAGTCTTTTCTGGGTCAGCCCTTCTTAGTTTCATTCCCTTGGGGTGACTCTGCAAGAGTCAGGATGTGTTGGCCATGGTATTTACATGACAAATCAGAGGAATCTCATTGAGAAATGAATAATCCCATCTGGAAATTGGAAAGGAGGTGGTAAGGAAGTTGAGAAGTGCTCCTGGAGCAAGCTGGTCAGAGAGCTTCGGCCTTTGGGAGTAGGTGGCATGAGCATCATTACCCACTTGGTGGGTGACTCCATTTATCTGTCCAGACACCCTCCCGCTGCATCCAGATCTTTGTTTGGTGCATCTGAGCTGCAGATTTGGGTTTTGCCTGGCATTTCACTGGAGCTGGGTGCTTGGATGGGGCCACCAGTCCTGGGGCTCTGAGAGGCTGGAGAAGGGCTGCTCAAGGTCCACAAGGCTCTTTGTTGTTGAAGAGACTACGTGTCTATAGTGCTTTTTCTAGATCTTCTACCATCACGCTTCCTATTAATCCTGATTCATAAAAGTAAAACCCACAAAGTGAAATTTCCTATAAAAATCACAAGAATATAATTGCCTCAAATTACAAAAAAACATTTTCTCGGAGAACCCAGAGTGCTTCTGAGTCTTCCTGTGCATTCACCAAGACCCTCCATGCAAGGAGGCAGGGAAGCAGAGAGGGATGGGCTTGGCACTCTCACTCTGAGTCCCAGGTTTCTGGGGAGCCAGGCCATGCTTTTATTCTTCACACTTGGGGCATGTGTGGGAGCCTGTGGCTATTGGATCACCTTGTCTTCAGAGAAAGGTTTAAAAAAATTCCAGTGGGTACAAAAACCCTAATGCATCCCCTTGTTATTTTCCTGTGTCTCTGTCTCTCTCAACCATTTTGATTTAATTTTCTGATTAAAAGCCCAGGCCAGTCTGCCTGCACCCCTTGCCAGAACGCAGAGCTGACCATGAGGGCTGGTCAGCCCTGATGGGTTCCACACTTCTGACAGCAGAAGCAGACACAGGAGCCCTGGGACTTAGGAGGGACCCTGGGTCTTCAGGCGTTTCTTCTTCTCCACTGCCAGTCGCAAAGCCTGAAGGAGCTTGTCCTTGTTATTTAGGATGTTGTACTCAGAGAGCTTCACCAGCTTGTTGAAGGCGGCCTCTGTGTAAGTCAGCTCCTTGGTGGCGTAGGCAGTTTTGGGGCCATAAATGTCAATCTGGCCCTGCTCCAGCTCCTCGGGGCTCCTCTCCACACCTGGAGAGAGCAGAAGGACTTGCTATAGGCCCTTACACATTATGTTGAAATGACTTGTTCCCATATCTTTCCCTGTGTCTCCTCCTCCCACGTCCTTGGCACACATGGATACATGCATGTGCACAAACATGCATATGCACGCACATGCATTTGCACACCTCCCTGCTCCTCAGGGCCAGTCTCAGGACTGCCCTAGCACCAACACAGGGCCAGAAACACAATTGGATATCAATAAATGTTGAATGACTAAAAAAGGTAGAGGATGATATTGCCAGCTCATGGTAGGGTGGGGGGGGGGTCTTTTCTTTCTTACTAAAACCAAGGTTGGCTCAGACTGGAGCTAAGCCAGGCTTCCCCATTAGAGCTATCAGAAAACTACACAAGTCTAAAAGACAGGAGCTCCCAGCCCAAGGCCGCAGGTGGTGGGAGCTGGGCTTGGAGGAGGCTTACCTGGGGCCTTGTACTTTTGGAAGGTGTCATTGACGAGTGGGAAGAAAATCACCGTGGGCGCATCAGGCTCCTGGGAGTTCTCCATCAGGTAACACTCCTTGAGATTTTCCTCCTCCTCTTGCAGCTCATAGTTGGGGAAGGGGATGTTCTGCACGGAGCAGTACTCACAGGTTTGTTTCATGGGCTGGAATATCACGGGAGGACGTGTTTGAGCATTAGGAGGGGTGGAAGTGGATAAGGAACACAGAGTTGTTAGATTCAGCTTCCTGATTTCCCCAACTAAGAACTCAGGTCTCCTATTGCTTTGCCTATTGTGCTCTTTTTAGAACAAAGGTAGGTCAGGACAAAGGGCCTGAGGCAGTAGGTTGGTGTGTGTCCAACTGCAAGCTTCTTCTGCAAGTAAAATGGAAAGCAACCCTTTTAATGATGCTGCACCCCAACACAGACCTGGGCAGATGTGGATGGCAGCCTGAGGATAATGGGAGCTGAGCTACATATAGCCGTGGCTGGCCAGGCACCTATGGGACGTGCATAGGCTTTGGACTGACAAAGTACCACAGGGCTGGAAAGGACTCTAAAAGGGTATCTTTATAAACATGATGTAACAGAGAGAGCTGTGGGCATAGAGTCAGAATATCCTTAGTTCTGTCCCCGTTCCATGCTCACTAGCTGTGTGATCTTAAGCAAGCCACTTACCCTCTCTGTGCCTGTTTCCTCACCTATAACATGGGACTATTAGCACTTGTGCCATCTAGTGCAGAGAACAGGTATAAGGATCAAGGGAGGTCATGTGTGGGAAACATGTCACTCTTATAAACTTAGGTCATGACTGATATTGTCCTCATGATCTGTCCTCATTCCCCTTTCCCAGGCTTTAGGATAGGGCTATCCTAAAGTAGACTAGAAATAGTTTCTTTCCCGTAAAGGGCTAGAACTTTAGAAAAGTAAATAAACAAAACCTCTGGTCCTGGTTTTTCCTATAATTACATGGAGGATCATATTTCCTGGGGGAGGGGGCATGAAAATAGGACATTGCAAGCTCTAGAAGTGACACAAAACTTGAGAATTGATGGGGCTTTACTTAGGTTATTTAGAAAAAACTCTTTTTGCAGCTGAAGCATTGCTAAATATGGCAAATGTTCAGATGCAAGAATAAAATTGAAATTAGCTCAGTGAGTCTTCTTAAACTCTAGGACCCCTAGCACGTGAGGGCCAGCTGGCTGCCTCGCTGAGGTCTGGACATTTAACCTCACGTCAAACCATCCTCTGGTGCTAAGTTTTGGAGCCTGTGGGGAGCGCACATTCTCCCATTTCTCAGTTTCACACTGCCCTGCTCAGTGGTGCTGCTCAGGAGAGGCGCGGTGCTCCTGCTCAGGGGGAGCCTTTCTCTGCCGCACTTGCCTTTGCCTGGGACCCGGCACAGTAATTGAGGTGAATGATGAGGTCAACTTTTCTCTCAGGCCTGAGGAGGGGCGGGTAGCTGGAGTTGATGAAGAACGCGGTGTCCAACAGGCACAAGTGGTTCATGGACTGTGTCAGCTGGTTTGGGAAACCATCTAGCACCGTGTCTGAAAGCCAAGGCTCCCAGTTACCATCAGGCCCGGTGCCCTGAGCTTGGGATGGCCAGAGGCAGCCGGTAGGGATGGAGTGCCCTGCCTGGAGCACCTCCACCTCAGCCTGGCCTCTGGCCCTCCCCCTTCCAGCCAGGACCCCGGGTGAGACCCAGTGTCCCTCTGGGTAAACTGAAGAACAACATTATCCTGGGTTTTAGCACATCTTATGGAGCATGCATGGAAAACCCACTATGACCTACCCACAGAGCTTCAGAGGCAGCAGGGATGTAAGAATATCCTATAAACTGGGGTAAACCCTGGGTCCAGAGCCAGCTGCCCTTTCTACCCCAGATGGCAAGGATGAGGATTATTAGACCAGGCTCAGCAGTCATTTGCAGGCTGTGGCTGAATAAAATACCAAAGATAGTGCCAAGCCAAACTTAGAGCCTTAGAAGGCTGGGGAGGAGGCACTAAGTTGAAGTTGCAAGAACATGGCTTAAGACCCGGCTCTGAGGCTTACCATTTAGGGGCTCTTGAGCTGGCCATCCCTGCCCAGCTCCAGGGGGCACTAGTCACATAAAAAGGGGCACACCTGAAGAAAATCAGGGCCCATGTTTCACCACCAGGGTCTCAACTTCTACCTGCTAGGATTGTTGTACAGATTCTGTATAGAGTTGTTGTACACATACAACAACTCATCCTTTTCCTGTGGCAGCCTTGACATCCCCTTCTCTGTTCTGAAAACAGAGGTGGGCCTCATGCAGCCACCAGTAGTGTTACCTTTCCACATGGAGAAATGGCTGTTCTGGACGTAGTCCGTGTGCAGCTGCAGCCCCTGCAGGAAGTTGTGGAACTGAGACACAAAGGCCCGATTGGTGAGGATGTTGCGGAAAGTATTGGACAGCCACGACCCTGGGATCACCACCGTGGTGTCCAGGATGTTGGCATCACATTTGGGGACTTCAGGCAGGAGTGGCTCGTCTTCTGCAGGGAAGAGGAGGGATGGAAGGATCCCCAGATTGCCCATAGGAAACACGCATGGCTGCCTGGCATCCTGGGGCATGCCAGTGTAAGTGCAACTCACTCCTTCCTTGCATCATTCTCAGGGCCCTGGTGTTGGAGCCAGGAGGACCCAGGTGAGGGATGGCACAGGGGCAGGGTGGTGGAAAGGGCAGGTGATGATAGGTAAGGCCAGAGGGCACAGACAGTCTGGAAGAGTGACCATGGATCCCTATGCCCTTCAGTTCTCCTGGGCACCACACAGCTTTGACAAGCCTAGAATGGTTGATCCATCCTGACCAGGCCAGAGTTGGCCCCCAGAACTTATGACCAGGCCTTATGTCCCCACCTATAGCCTGTCTCCTCTCCAGGCAGGAAAGACCTACAGTGTCCCTCCACTCTAGGCAGGGAAGACCTTCTCACCCTAGCTGTCCTTCCATCTCTGTGGGCCACAGAGACAGTGATGAAAGATGTGGCAGGGAACTGGTCCTCAGGCAGTGGTCTACCCCCTGCCTCCACCCCCACCCAACAAGGGGAAGCCAGTGGGGGCATCACCCACCGATGTCCTGCACTCTCTCCCTCGTCCATCTGTGGAAAAACTCCTCTGAGGTGTGGGACAGGTTCCAGGCATCGAGCAGGTTCAGGGAGAAGATGCTGCTCCACAAACCTGGGGAACAGGGCCACTCATTAGCAACTCTGCCCCAGGGTCCCCAGTTCCCCCAGGCCTCCCAAACACTGTTTCCACCTTGGCCCTGATTCTGTCTCTAAGTCAGGCTGCTCAGGGAGTGGGCAGACCTTGTTTCCCCACAGTGCAGCTCAACCCAGATGACTGAGGAGTGTTCCTCTCAGAGCTGGGAGAGGGTATGTAGGCCTACATGGCACAGCCCCCACACGGGCTTAGTGTTGACAAGCACAGGCTTGGAGTCAAGTCTAGATGCTACCCCTTGCATCAATCAATATGAGAGTTTAGAGTAGTACCTGGCACAGGGTATTTGACAAATGCAATGCTCTTATCATTATGATTTTTAAATGCAGCACATTAATAATAATACTCATATGAAATCTTTCACATACACTGACCCATCTGGATCTTCTATAAGGCAAGTTTTACTCTTAAATCCAGTTCACAGATGAGAAAACTGTGGATCAGAGAGGTTAGGTAATTTGGCCAGCTTCACACAGCTAATAAAGGAGGAGCCAGTGTTCAAACCCAAGTGTCTTAACTACTTGGACCACATGTCCAAAAGCATAGGTGTTCAGAGGAACGACAGGCCACCACGGGCTGGGGCTCCGTGGAGAAGATGGGGCTTGAGTTGGGCCTTCTGGGATGGGTTGGATTAGGATGGGTAGAAGGGAGAGGGGCACAGATAGCTAGTTTAAATAAGGGCATAACTGTTATGGAGGCTCTAAAGATCGGTCTGCTTTTGAGGTTGCCCTTTGATGGATTTAGCTTAGACTCTGAAAGGAAGAAGTGTGTGAGTGGACACCACAGCCAGGCCCTGCACTCAGCACACCCAGCTTCTGGAGGGCCAGGGAGTGTAGCAGCAGGGAGCTGGGCCAGGCTTCCCCAGAGACTCTGCCTTCACCCTGGGGTCCTCTCTGGCCTCTTGGATTCCAGCGGCTGGTTCTGCCCCCGGAAGCAGGCATGTTGCTACCTGGAGCCAGAGTAGGAGGGGCCAGGAGTTTGTGAAGCTCCCAACTTAGGCAGCCACTCCCAGTTCTGGTTCTGAACAGATCCCAGGGAGGCCACAGGAGACAAGGACATTAAGAGAGTTCCCTTGGGTCCCCAGTGATATGAGTGCTCCTGTTGGGTCCTTTTGGGTCCAGAGGGTCACAGGGAGGTCAGGGCGGTCTGGGAGGCTGGTTTCAGGATAGGTTTGAAGCCTCCTGGGAGGAAGGGATACTGGTAAATGCCAGGAGGGTCACATGCTCAAGGGATAAACAAAGCCAGCCCCAGCACCTGGGATGAGATTCTGGGAGAACAAGGCGAGCCAGGCCAGCACGGGGCAGGCCGCCCCAGGCCCCCCGCAGCCAGGAGTCACCTAGCATGTAGCACATCTGGGACTCCGGGATCCTTCTCATCAGCCGCCCCATGAAGAACTCGGAGCCAAAGAGCTCAGAGGGGATGAAGGCCCCGTACTTCTGCATGCCCACCTCGTAGGGGGAGAACTCGCACCACTCTGCATAAGAAGAGGCAGGGCAGGATGTCAGTCTCAGACCGGAACAGCCAGGTCGTCCCTCCTCACCCAAGGCAGGCTCCCAGGCCCTTGGGGAGCCTGGGACTGGGAGGCCGCAGTTCACCTGCAGGGCACATGGAGGCGCCTGTGACCAGCTTCTGCTAAACCCAGCAAAACAGCTTTGCATCCTGCAAGGCTCAATTGCACCCCAAAACTGGACAAACCTGATCCTGAACCAGGGCACATCTCTGGAGTTCCTGCCTTTGGGCAGCTTAAGAAATATCTAGAATCCATGCTCTTCATGACTTTATTACCCCTGTCCCGTTAAGCCCGTCTCGGAGAAACCACACCACCTGCCCTATCTAATCATCTGCAGGGTGGAAGCGGGAAGCAAAGTTGACTTCTTCAGGTATCAGCACAGTTTTTGACGTGGAGGTTAGCAAAGGTGTGATGGTGGGGTATGTGTGCTGGGGTGCTGGGTGCCTTTGCCTGCTGAGGAGAGACCTCCCCCTACCCCCTTGTAAATTGCTAGCCCACCAATGTTACCTCTGAAATCCTGGTTGCTTACATCATCCTTGACATTGATCGTGAGGTAGATGGGCAGGGGGTTCTGGCCATGGCACAAAGCAGCACGCTGATCTGATAGCTTGCATTCATTTTTCTGTGAGGAAACGAAATGGTTAAGAAGAAAAAGCAGACGAGCAGCCTGGGTACAGCACAGAACAAGAAGACAATCTGGACCTCTAGCATTTTCCAGACCTGAGCCCACTAGGCTGCTATGTAGGTCCCAGTGACCCCAGTCAAACCTGCTCTTAGAGTTCCTGGTACACTGTTTACTTGTCCTTGAGCTATTGACCACCCTGATAATGGGGGCAGGACAGACCTACAGTTTAGGGCTGTCCCTCAGTGTCTCAGGGGCCAGAAAATGAAAAGATCAGGGTGGAAGAGGCCACCACTGCCCCACTTAATCCCTATCATCTCCCACCATCTCATCATCTTCCTCCAGCACCCATTTGGTCATCTCCTGCTTCTTACAGCCAAAGTATGAACCTGTAGGTCTAACCTGTCTCCCTTCTGCTGTGACACAAGCCCAGACCTCCAGGTGTAAGTCCAGAAAGAGAGTTGGCTATCAGCCAGGGCAGGCAGGGTCCCAGGAGAAGCTGAGCACCTACCTCATCCCCTAAACAGGCCTCAATCAGCAGGCCCCAGAAATCTGTAAAGGTGACTTTGTAGCCTTCCTGACTGCGTTGCCGAAGCTCCTCCTGGAATTTGAAGAGCTGGTCTGGGAACAGGGCAGGCATCTTGTCCTTGACCACGTGCCTCCGTGCTTCAAATACAGTAGGCTCCAGGTCTTTGGAGGACCAGTTGGGGTCACGGTACAAGTTGGCCATGGTCCTGGAGAGAGACAGGTGTGCTGAGAGAGCTGAGCCATCCTGGTGCCACTGGCTCTGGACCTGGGCAGGACAGGAGGTGGGGTGGTCATGGGAGACCCTAACCTGCCATGGGAGCCTGGAGGACAGGGGTGAACACCAGCACTCAAAGCCACCATGGCTACCACGTGTGGCTGCTTGCTGTGTGCCAGCTAGAGCGTGCCACCTAAGAGTGAGGATTCTGGACCCGGCTCTTCCTGGGTGCAAGACCAGGCTCTGCTGCTCAGATCCCAGCTGTGTGATCAAGGGCAAGCTACTCAACCACTCTTCACCTCAGTCTCCTCATCGGTGGAATGGGGAGAATCCCAATAACTGTCCCTACCTCAGAGAGTTATTGTGAAGATTACGTGAGTCTCTGTCACAGCCCTGGGGAAATAGTAAGGTCAGTAACGACAAGGTGTATAATGTGTACAGTGTCTCTTGCTTACTCAATACTGGGAGAGTCTCTCACAACATCTCCATCAGGTCACTGCTCTTGTTATCTCCACTGTACAGATACAGAGACTGAGACTCAGAGAAGCTGAGCCGAGGGGTGGAGCTGCCCAGGCTCCATGAGCCACTCTAACGTGGGGTGGGCAAGCTTCACCAGAGATCCTGGGCCAGCCTGCTTACTGCTTGCTCTGGCCCCCAGCAGACAGTGGCACCCCGCTCCTTACCAGGTGGCCCCTGACAGGCCGGTGATGTAGCTGGCACAGTTCAGGATGTTCAGTTTCTGTAGCCCCAGCAGGTGGCCATACATGGCAGTCATGGATCTTGCTCCACCCCCAGTGGCCATGATGGCTATCAGCGGTACCTGGGGGGACACAGAGACAGCCTGTGGGGAGCAGTGCTGGGGAGGAGAAGACTAGGAGCAACAGACAGCAGCTTAGAACAATGGAGGAGGAGAGCTGGCTGCAGACAGCAGAGACAGGGGCACTGAATGGCCTGCAAACCGGTTTTCTCAGTGGTGGGCTGCCTGGTGGGTCTAGGACTAGACCTTAGCTCTTAAACCAATGGCTAGTGTCAGCGAATGGCCCTGAAGCGCACACAGGCTTGGGAAATCAGAAAGTCATGGCCGGAAGAGTTCTTTTCACTGTTAATTGAGTCCTCACTTAACAGACAATGAAACTGGGGTCCAGAGGGCTGAGAGCCCAGCTAGGGTGTGATTCTCTGGTGGTTGCAAATTGACATCTTCTGTAGAGGGATTTGATGTGAGGGCACCATGCCCAGGGCTGCCACAGGATATATGCTCAATATACAGCATGTGTGTTAGAGTAGGGATGGATGAATATTTGATGCAGGAAGGAGCAAGGCTGTTACCCTGGGTTTACACAAGTTTAAGGCACCCTTGGTGTGTGTGTCCTAAAGGTGGGAGGCAGGGAGGAGGTCCTTTGCCAAGACTTACTCTTACTGTCTTCCTTTGAGTGGGGGCTGTGAGACACCTCTCGGGGCAAAAGCCTGCCACAGGCCTCCTCAGGCATGAGGTCTCCAAGCACCTACGGCCAGCCTCAGAAGGCAGGTGCTAGGAGGGCTGACCTGCTGCCAGGGTGTGTGGGCCTCCGCCCACCAGTGAGGGGACAGGGTGCTCTAACCGAGGTGCACCTTCATCTGTCCCACGGGAAGAAGCTGGCCCTGTGACAGATGCCGCCTCTCTCCAGCTAACGACTGCTGTTCCTTCTAGAAGTGTATGTGTGCACATCAGCAGGAAGGGAGAATGGAGGGCCCAGGGCCTTTGGGGTGGAAGTATGGGGTGTGTGGGGGGTAGAGCTCCAAATGTTTTTCTGGCTGGGGAGAGGAGGCCACTTTGTCCCCATGCTGGTCTTTCCCAGTCGCCTCAGGATCTGTTAGTGTGTGGGGAGGAGCGGCTGGGGCTCCTTCCTCTCTTCACTCTGTCTTTCCTTCCCCACCCCTTGTGAACACACTACTGAACATACCATTCAGCATAACCCTGACCTGGGCACCTGGAACTTCAGCATAAGAGCAACCAGGGAAGGCAGAGCTGAGGCCCCCCTGGGGCAGGGCAGGGCTTAGGGCTTGCTGGCAAGGTACCGCATTAGAGGACAAGCTTGGCTCAGAGTGGGCACTGAGTGTAGGCTGACAGACTGCTGCTTACCCACCTCGTCCATCTGCAGATCCTCCTCCAGCTGTAACACCTGCTTCAGCCCCTTGGCTGCCACCACCTTCCGCTTCTGCAGGAACTCCAGCTCTGCTGGGCACAGGCTGAAGCCCAGCCGCACGTCCAGTGTCTGGGGGCTGTGGGGACAGAGACCCTGGCTAAGTGGGTCTGTGTTCCCCATCTTCATGGAGAAGACATGGCCTTAGGGGCAGCTGGATGTAGGCTTGAAGTCTGGTTTTGCCATATACCACCTCTGTGACCTTGGGCCTCTGCTTTCTCATCTGTAAAATGGGGCTAATCATGCTTATCTCCCAGCACTGTCTTTAGCATTTGCTGAGATAACAAATGTAAAGCCCCCAGGGTTTAGCTTTATAAGCTAAGTACCTGTCAGCAGGTGCTCAACGAAATTAGGGACCCATTGAACCTCTGCCCCCTCAGCAAGATCTGGGAAGTCCAGAAAAATTTCCCCCAGGTACCTGCTGTAACCTGAGGCCAGACATGGGTGATAAGGGGCCCTGAGATATTTCTGGCCAATCCCTTGGGATAAGGCTCTACAGTGAGGGGTCTCCTGAGCGGGATAACCTTGGCCCATGCTTGTGGAGCTCACAATCTTCAGTAAGCTCTGCCTGCCCTAGGAGTGATAATCCTCCTGTGTAAGAGACAAAAACCCTCCTTATTCCTGATCTGGCCCTGTCATGCCCACAGGTCTGCAAGATGACACGGGAGCTGCCACAGCATGCCCAAGGCTTGTCTTCCTTCTCTCACATCCCTGCCCTGAACAAGCCCTGCGCAGAGGCTCCTGGGCCCTGCTGATCTGTCTCTACCCCCCTCCCCCTGCTCAGTCCTGGCTCTGAGCCTCTGCGCAGCCTTTTCCCTCACCAGAAGCTTCCTCCCCCTCCCACCTACCCCCCTTGCATCCTTTGAGGCCAGCTCCCCCGTGACTCTGGGCGAGTGGACCTTGACAATTTCTGACCTGAGTCTTGTGGCCTGAGGTACGAACAAGGCTGCAGTCCCTGAAGGCAGGACCTGGGGACTCTGCCTAGCACAGGCCTTCAGACACAGCTGTGAGGAAGAGACTCTTCCCTTGGCTTCAACAAGGAATGAATAATATAACAGCAACAATAACAACATTAGTTGATATTTGCTGTGCCCCACTTGTCATATCACTTAGTACTTTGCATGTATTATCTCACTGGATCCTCAAAACAGTACTTCTGGTATTCCTCCAATTTACAGATGAGAAAAACTGAGACTTAGAGAAGTTAAAAAACTTGTCCAAGGACAACAAGCTAATCAAATTGTAAATGGAAAGTATGGTCACTGATTTCTGACAAGTGTGCCAAGACCACTCACAGGGGAAAGGACAGTCCTTTCAATAAACGGTCCTGGGACTACTGAATGTCCCATGCAGGAAACAAAGTTGGACCCTTCTTACACACTGTATATACAAATTAACTCAAAGTTGATTCTAGACCTAAATGTGAGAGCTAAAACTATAAAACTCTTGGAAGAGAACCTGGCAGTAAACCCTCATGACCCTGGATTAGGCGATGTTTTCTGAAGCATGACACCAAAAGTGCGAGTGACAAAAGAAACAACACAGATGGGACTTCACCAGAATTGAAAACTTCTGTCCTTCAGAGGAAACCGTCAAGAATGTGCAAAGACAATCCCACAGTAGGAGAATATATCTGCAAGTTGTATATCCAGCAAGGCACTTGTACCCAGAAAATACAAAGAACTCTTACAACTTAACAATAAAAGGCAAATAACCCACTTTTAAAATGGGCAACGGATGTGAGTCCATGTTCCTTCATTGAAGATACACAAACGGCCAATAAGCCCATGAAAAGATTTTCAACATTACAATCCATCAGAGAAATGCAAATAAAACCCAAAAGATACCACTTCACCCCCTACCCACCGCGGGGATGAATAAATTAGAGGGACAGACAGAGAGGGCACTTTACCAGGGTGTAGACTTCATGTGTAATTCACAGCTCTCGTCCTGCGAGGCAGAAGATGAGAAGCTTGTCAGAGCTGACAATTCAGAACCAAGCGACCCCAGCCACAGAAGCAGAGGCTTGCCACACTGTCCACCCCTGACCCGGACCAGCACCCACTGGGGCGCACACAGCATGTGCTCTATCCCCACTCCTCTCCTGCACAGGGCCACCCCACAATTCTAATGCTGCCTCTTACACTCTTGGGCCCCACCTTGCAACTCTGCAGTCGCCTACCCCACAAGACTCCTCTCTCCTGCCCTAGGACCCCCATGAGTCGCCTTATCCCATGCGCCCTTGCTCTCTCTCCCCATCTCCCTGACAAAGGAGCTCCAGGCTAAGCTGCTCAAGGGCCCCTTCCCAGACCCAGGCTCTCACCACAGGCAGCCTCACTGCCTGGCTATCAGGGAGACAATCGAGGGGCTGGCAGACAGGGCCCTTCTTCTTGTGTGCACAGCAACAGCAAAGCTGGAAGGGAGGGTGGGTTCTGTGAGGCAGGTGAGGGGCTCCTCTGGCAGCCCCGCCTGCCCTAGCCCCCACCTCACCCCCGGGGTCAACGCCTTGTACCCCACAGCTCCACTGGCTCTTGGGCACCTCCACCTGCATCTTGGGCTGGAAGTACTTGGGGTAGTGGAAGCAGGCAGGGTTCGGGCAGCAGGGCTCCAGGCAGCATGAGATATGCTGTGTGTGCTCATAGGACTCACTCACTGCCACCAGGAGGTCATTCACTGGAACACAGGACAAGAGGGCTGAGACCCCTGGGAAGCCTCTCACTCCCCACCCCCAGCTTGGCCCAGTAAAAAACCTAGCCAGAGGCACCCAGGCTAGGGGTCTAGAATCACCTGGAGCACTGGTTAAAATGTCCCAGGGAGTCTCATTCTGTAGGGCAGGGCAGGGGCCCAGGAATCTGCATTGTACAAGGCCTTGTGTGATGTTGATGATAAGGTCCCCCCAAAACCCTCAGAGATGCTGAGTTCTCTGGACCCAAGGTGCTGCTTCTGCAGGAAGTGCCCCAAAGTCCCCATCCTGCTGTCCTGAAAGCCCTGCACCACCAGTGTGGGGTAGAAGCCTCTTCCTCCTCCTGCCCCAATGTCCGTGGAATAGGCCTGTCCCCAGAGGGGTGGGATGGGGAGTTGGCTGGAGAGTCTCTTGTGTGTGGAGCTCTTAGGTCTCTGCCAGCTATAAAATGCAGGGATGCTGTGTGAACCATAACCTGATGCGGTTGGAGGGGCCCCTGGTTGTCAGGGCCTGCCCACCCCGGTGCTGACCGCTACACTAGACCCAGGGAACCTCCGGTCTGGCAGGGCTGCAGCGCAGGTCTGTGTGGGCAATGAGGGCAGCCCCGTGCCACCGAGCCCTGGCCCTGGGCACGCATCAGGTCTGGGGAGCTCCAAGGCGCCATGTGGGTGCCTGGAAGAGTGTGCACCTGGGGGGCAGGGGGAGGACAGGACCCCTGAGGGTGAGGGGAGCCCCAGGAGATGCACCAAGCTGTTTGTTCCCTGACTGAGCCCAGGGCAGCCTTGAAGCAGGCCGGCTCTGGTGCAGGTGGCACTGGGAACAGCACTGCCCTCCCCCCAGGCAGAGGTGGTCACACGCTCACTTTTCCTGCTCTTCTGCCGCTTCCTGGATTCTGCATGAACCTCCAAGCAGGAAACTTGTCGAGCCTGAAAGAAAGGAAGGGAGAGTCATTCTGAGCATAAGGGAGGAGAACCAAAACTGAAGGATAAATTCAGTGCTGGCCTGACTTGGGCCAACTCCGGGGCAGGCTGCACGTGCCGACCACATTTACTGAACCCAATCAGGGCCTGTCATCTCATTCAGGGATTGAGTATTTGAAAACAAGGCTGTCCTGAAAAATCTAGATGTACGGTCACCATTTACTAGGAGTCATGTTCTCAGCTACAGGTCATGGATGGAACCTGAGTGGTTTGGTCAAATTCCTTTACTGCAAACTCCTAAAGACTGATTCTTTGGGGAGAGATCTCCCTGAATCCTGAAGCTTTAGATACATCTAATTGAAATGACCGTTCAACAGCTGAATCAAGAAAATCTTTATAATACTGAACTTGGGCTCATAGAGGGACTGGAGTTGGGCGGAAATGGGACAGAAACTGATTCAGGAAGGAGGCTGCCTCCTGGTGGGGACTTTATTGGGAAGATTCCCAACAGGTCGTCGTGGAATGCGGGATGCTGGGCCAGGGTGGTGGAGGTCTGGGCTACTTCCTCCCCACTGCCGCCCCACCCCTGCCCAGGCCAAGCCCGCTTTGGGAAGCTTCAGTTAGTCTGACTCCCACAGCGGGCTCCGGGATGAGGCTGGGCCTGATTCTCGCCCACAGTTCTGGTCTCTGGGCGCAGCAGCTGCCTGCAGCCTCCCGAGCTACGAGGGCCTGGAAGGACAATTACCACCAGCACGCCATTAGTGATGAGGGCCTCAGGTGGGGAGGAGCTGAAAGACAAAACGAGAACTCTGGTCAGCTGGGTGCCTCTTGGCTGATTGCTCACAAAGGTGATGAAGAGCCCGAGTAGGTCAAAATAGGAGGGAAGAGCCTTTCTGGTCCTTATGAGAAAGGCTGGCTTACGACACCTCAGAAATTTGGATTGTCAAGGAGAAAACTAGCATATATTTTAAAGAGAATGTCCAGGGAAAAAACAAATTATAGATTAGGAGTAGAAGAGTTCCTTTTTTTTTTTCCCTTAAAGGATAAATGGTCTTTATGTCCAACCAGATACAACTGCATGGAATTAAGAGGATAAACAGTTGTAAGAGGCTGGAGCCCACCACCTAGAGAGAAGCAAACAGTTCTGGTAGCAAAACTGACCCATTCTCCCTTCTGTGCTTTACCTGATTTAGGTATTTAACAGATAGTTCTGACTCAGCCAGAGAGGGGCCTGGTGAATATGAAATGTCCTCATGTTATCAAGTCAAGAATATAAGCCGCCAAGTCTATGATCAGCCTAGGTTTCCCTCGTCAAAATTAAGCCCCAGATGATTGTGTCTCCAGATCAACTCTCATTACCAATTTTGACATATTTCATTTTGCAAGCCACTTTCTAATTCAGCCAAGGAATTTTTTTCCCCCTAAAAGTCCTGTTGAACTAAAAACTGCAGGAGAAAGCCCAGATTTTCTTTATTTTAATTTGTCAGGCAGCTGTAGATGGGAAAAGAGGGACCCCACATAGTTCCAAGAGCCCCCAGGCAGAGAACCCCCTAGGGGATGTGAGGAGCCTTCACGCTCCAGCTCCCACCCCTCACCCTCCCTCTGTCCCGCACTGAGGGTAAGTCCAGGGACTCAGTAAGAAGCAGGGAGGAGCCAGCCGCCTGCCCACAGCAGGCACACTGCCATCCTGGGGTGGCTCGTTTCTTCTGGGCAGGGGCCCTGCTCCCCTCCTCCCCACCCCTTCCTTTCCTTCCTCCTCTCTTTGCTCCCCTCTCCTTCCCATCCTCCAGTGCTGTGGCCCAGTTCCATTCTAGCCCCCAGCATAGTTCTGTAGCAGGACGCCGCGTCATTTTCCTAATTGAAAATGGTAGGGAATAACCCTACAGGGTAGGCCTGAGCCTCCCTGACCTGGTTTCCAGGTCGGCTGCAGTGGGGCACAACCTCTGCTGCAGGCCAGGGCTTGGGGGAGCTTGGTCTAACAGTTCAGGGTCAAGAAGGAGAGACCTTGGTCCTGATCTCTCTCTCATCCTGGTCTCAGTAAGGCCCCCATCACCATGGCAGCAAGAATTCTCTGGAGGCCATTCTCAGGAATGCAGGGAGCTGAGGCAGGCAATTTGGCCAGAGTACTAGGTCTTTAAAGCAATATGGATGTCAGAAGAACAGGATGAGTAGGGGTGGACCCAGAAACCCACAGTATTTAGAAGCTCCTGAGTAATTCTGATGCCCAGTGAGCAGTGCCAGGGTGTGGATAAAATGAGAGTTCCTGTGGCCAGGATTCTCACTTGGCTCTGGTTGACTAGCTCACTGCACACCTGTGGGCAATACATGGCTGTTGACTCTATATAAAGAGCTCTGCCCAGTGCTCTGGGCACGACACGGTGGCACGGCTGCAAGGCTGCAGGAGAGCAGAGCAGAGGCTGGAGTGGTGGCAGCACCGAGGGCAGAGAGGCCTAGATGACAGCTGTGTGGGACGACTGTGCAGAGAGGCCCAGAGGACAGCTGTGCGGGACGGCTGTGCAGACAGAAGGACCCAGAAGCAGATACTGGCTTGCTGCATACAGACTCGCTCTGAGTGAATGGGATTCTAGTGACTGACCTGCCACCTGGAAATAAAGTTGGGTATAACCCTCTCACCCCAAAGAACGTTTTGCTGTCAGTTTCTTTGGTCACACTGAATCCATAGCGAACTTGCCCGGGGCTGAAACCCACTGGTAAGACACAGGTTGAGAGCAGAAGGGCGAGAACAGCAGACAGGTGGACCCGGCCCTGAAATGCTGGTGCCCAGAAGCTTCCTGGGGTCAGGACCTTGACGGAGCCATGGGCTGGGCCTACTCACCTCCCCTCCAGCAGGAACTCTACCTCCAGCTCTTCTGTGCCCTGGCAGGGAGGACAGGAAGGCAGATGTCAGCTGGGGCTGCACCTCTCTGCAGACCAGGCTCCCCTCAACCCCACCACCTCAGGAGCCCCCATGGACCTCCCCCTGTCCCCCCCAGCCAGCTGTCCTGCTGTCATGGAGTTGGGCCAGATCTTCCCAGTTCTTGTCCCCTCTGCCTCTTTCTGTCCCCAAATCTCTGATATCAGGAATATCAGTGACAACTCAGAGGAGGGTCAGGGTATGGACCTGAGCCCCAGCATGCAAATCCCTCTGCACCAGAACATGTCCCTTTCATCTCCACCCCTGCTCCACGGTGCTCCTCTGCCAGGGAGGGCTGAGATACTGTTCCCAGCAAGCCCAGCTCCGAAGGACAGGAGCCCCTTCCTTCATCCGTTCCTGTATACTTCTTGCCATGTAAATCCAGGGAGTTGTGACACTGAGCCTTAACCTCCTCACTGGAATGTAAGCCAGGCAACGGCAGTGATGCTCATCCTCTCACATGTCCCTGGTGCCTAGGACAGTGCCTGGCCCACAGAAAGCATTTGAGTATTTGTTGAATGACTGAACTAATAATAGCTTGGTCCTTTCCAGCTCTGACTTCTCTGATTTGTGGGTTTGTCTTTCTGTACCCTCACCTGTCCTGTCCCCTGGGGCCATCCCAGCAGGATCCTGGGGGAAGAAAGGAATCTACACTTGCTACATCTCCATTTTGTGGTGTGAACAGTGCTGGGTGCCTCAGTCATATTTTCCCATTTAAGCCTCCCAAGGACCCTGTATGGGAGGTGTTATATAGATGAGGCACAGAACTCAGAGGAGTTGAGTAAGTTCTGCAAGCTCACACAGCTAGCAAGAGATAGCACTGGGACTTGAACCAGAAATGTTGTCTTTCCCCCACTTGGCTACACAGAGAGAAGCCCATAGAATGGCACCATGGGAAAAACCAGCTGCTCCTCATGAGGCAGGAGGCTGAAGGTCTGGGCACCTGTACTCACTTCTGGGTTGAGTGGGAACTTCACGTGGGTTTTCTTTCGGAAGCAGAGCTTGGTGAGGTCATAGAGAACTGTCAAGAGATGGTCATCTGGTGTCACTATGTCTTCATCACAGACACTCAGCTCCAGCACGTTCTGGGGGAGAAAGAGTACAAGTCTGGTTACTGTGTTGCACTGACCTATTCTCAGGACAAGGGCGCTGACCTCAGTCCTAGTGAGGAGGTCAGTGTGAGGGATGGGCACAGAGGTCCCTGTCAGGTGTGAGAAACACTGTAGGGTAATAAATTAAGGGAGGAAAGTGTCTATTCCTTTCTTTCCAACTCTCTGAAGACTTCCAGCCCCTCTGCTCTGACCCTCCTGCTGGAGAATTTTGCTCTTTTGCAAGCTTGGCAGGGACCTGTGACGTGAAATGGATTGCATTTCACCTCAGGGAAGGATAGAAGGGCAGAGCACTGTCCAGCAATGGGGCCCCACAAGCTGAGGGCTCATTTGGTGCTAGAAAACACAGTCAGGAAAGCTAAAGTCTTCACGCTCTGAGAGAATGATGTGGCAAAGATTGCTGGGGTTCTGACATTTGATGGGGTTGGGTGAGATGTTTGAACTATATCCACTGGCTTATCAGACCCTAATGAGGTCTCACTGATGGTCCCAAAACAGCATGTCAAAAGTTGAAGGCCTCCTGTTCCAAGGATCCTTGCAGAAGTGGGTTGGAGCTGGGTTTGCCCATTTGATCCCTATTTAGTAGACATAAGGTAGTTCTGGGGGTTTGCTACTGAATGAGGTCTGTTGACCCTATAATAACAAGAAACCCAACTATGTCCCAGAACCAACCCCACAGATCCATATGAGCAGCCTCATAGATTTTTATAGACAAAGGAGCCCACATTCTGATTTCGTATGGCAGACTGAGACCTCACCAAAATCTCCCTTGCTCACCGAGACCAGAAGAGATATTTGACAGAAGAGATATTTTAGAAATAATGAATACAAAGTCCTTCTTGAAGACAGGAAGGACTTGTCATGAACCAGAAATGGAAAATCATCCCTAAAATATGGCAGCAGCAAGCTGGATGGTTCAAGCCTCCAGTACCCCAACACTGGGGTTGATGTCTCCATGACACGGTCAAGTTTGCCTGGAGGGCACTGTGCTGGGGCAGCCACAGCTTAGGGGGCTCAAGGGAGACTTCAGTGGGAGAAGTGAACTCAGCGTTGAGTCATCGCATATCTGAAGAACACCAACACTGTGGAACAACTCAAGTGAAAGAACACACACCCAAAGAATTAGAAACAATAAAGCTATCTGAAAAGGATTTAAGATTGAGAAAACCTAACCTAGTGCATAGAATGGTTCTTCCTGTCTGTGTATTCTCCTACTTGGAGCATGTTCTGGAAGCACAGTCTGTTTTGGAGCACAGTCTGTTTTGGGGACAGTAGCCACCAAGCGCTGGCAGCAATTAGGTAAAAGGACAAGAGAGGCAGGAAAGAAGGTAGAAGGATAAGTTAAGAGGGACAAACATGAAACCAGCTGAGGGAAGGAGTGGGTGAGTGGGAATACAGATAGGTCTATAGGAGGACAGGAAGTAGGTGGAAAGACAGCAGATAGATGTAGGAAGGACATCTAAGTTATGAAAAGGATGAGCAGGCAAGGAGGGGAATAGAAATGCAGGCAGGGCAGGCAGGAGCAGTCCCCCACAGCTCACCTTCACTTTGCTCTGGATCTGGAAGGCGAAGGTCTCATTCCACTCTGGGTTTGGGCAGTTGGAAACAGTCCTAGTCCTCAGCCTCTCATGAGAGGCGGTGGGCAGCCAGAGGCTCACAAAGCAATCGGGGTGGCTCACTGTCCAAGGAACACAAGGTTGGGGGGAAAGAGTGAGGAACAAATCCAGTCCAGAGAGGAGAGCATGGAGTCAGAAGGGAACTTCAGGCAAGTCACCTCACGAGCAGGCCTCATCTTAGCTTCAGGTCCCACAGGTCTGACTCTCCAGAGATCTTTGTTCCAGAATCCTGAGAAGACCTGAGGCTAGAGGTTTCACAGACAGGGACCCAGGTCCTTCTGACCGTTCTCATGGACACAGATGGCCTCTGGCTCTTACCAGAAGCACCGCAGCTCTCCATTATTTCTATCCATAAGCAAAAGCTGCTGGTTTGGGACAAGGCATGGCCGGATGGTTTTCCCTCTGCCAGGAGAAGAATCTGGAAGACTGGCCCCACTTTACCTCCTACCTTAGCCCAAGGCACCAGGGAAACCAAAGTAGGGTCCTGCTCCTCCTGTGGCTGAGGTGGAGCAATGATTAGAAGAGACACAGCCTGCTGTGTGCCAGCCCTGAGGGTCCTGATGGAAAAGGACTTGAGTGGAACAAGTCATTCGGCAGGATCAAGGAGCAGGGGCCACTCTCTATGCGACAATGCACCCGGATGGGCTCTCCACACTGACACTGACGCTCCCTGCATGAGGTTTGTGACCCAAGAAACCCTCACCTCGGAGGCCATGCACTTTTTATTCATTTGGCATGAATAATCCAAGCGTGATATTGCTGGATGGAGAAGGACAAAGGCTCGATCCTATCAGGCCCTCCTAAAGTAGAGGGAAACCTCCCAAGTCTTCTGCTTGGATCAGCAGAAGACATAGGGAGAAAAATAGCAGCCCCGCCTGGCTCGCTCCCTCCATTCTACTTGGGAGGGGGAGGAAGAGGTGCCACGACTGCCTTTGCCACTCTCCCAGGGTCATCCCTGGGGTGCACGCCATTCCATAGAAAATGGTAAAAATCAGTACAGTTTCCAGGGTCACCGGGTCCTCTAGAAGGTGAAGCTGGTGTGGGAATGGGGCTTCTGTACTGGCAGGCCTTATCCAAACCAATTCCTAATGATTATCAATGATGTCCCATGAGAATGGAACCAACGGTGTCTCCTTGGACTGACTTAGTCCTTTATTGTCAGCACACCGAGCACTTCATCAGAATTAATAACCATGGTTCACGTCGCAAGTGCCCCTTGCTTCTGATTTCATACCCTACGTCTGGTGACTCTTTGAGGACTCACCATTCTGTGAGTTGGAATCCATGGCCTTCCTCCCATTGAATAAAGGTGAGATGTCATAATCACTATTTAATCCAGACTCAAAGAAGGACCAAAACACAACAGAATCAAAAGAAAATGATGACCTCATCATCCCCACTCACTCCTCCATGCTTGACCTGCTCCTCCTCACCGTCAGCTCAGATGTGCAGGCCAGACACCAAGTATTACCCTTGACTTTCATGTGGAGTCAACTTAACTCCTTCGATCTCTCCAGCCTGTCCACTTCTGACTTGCCCTGCCACTGCCTAGGTGCAGGCCGCCAGCCTATGCACTTCCCACCTGGACACCTTGTCTCATGTTCTTGCCCTACTCTAATCTTCTCTGTCAAGAGAAACCAGAGGGATGGTTTTTAGATTTGAGCATGTCACTCCCCTTTTAAGTTTAAGATCCCTCAATGGCTCCCATATGCTCTCAGGAAGGAGACCTGACCACTTAACAAGGCTGTTCCCTTCTCCGCCAACCTCACCTGTCTTCCCTCCCTATCACCCAGCCCCTGCCTTGTATACACACACACACACACACACACACACACACACACACACACACACACACACACACACACACCTAGAACAGGCTTGTCTTCCACTTTCACCCCACTTTCCCTTGGCTAGCCCCTTCAGGTTTCAGAAGATGCCTCTTCTGGAAGCCTTCTCTGAGCCCCCAAGTCTGGGTCAGGTGCCCCTCCTAGCCCAGAGCCTTCTGCTCCTCTCCCGGCAGGACACTGGCTGCAAAGGCAGGTTGGTCATCTCTCTTCACTGCGCCCTCAGCATGGAAAGTCCTGGGAAACCAGGCATGGGAACATAGTTGGCACTTGCTGGATATTTGTTGAATATGTGAATGAGTGGACAAGCCCAACTTTCTGCTATCAGGCTTTATCAGTAGCCCAGAAACTCTGGGCTGAGTCAGACTGAAGATATGGATACACAAGTTGTCATGTCTAATTGCTCTGCCCATAGGGAGACTCCCTGGGGATCTGTTCCATCCTCCTGGACCCATCCCTTGGCTTTTCCTGGACACCAGCTGCTCCTCTTGGGCCTGAGGCCTTCTCCTGAGGTCTGCCTCCTGTACCCTAGGAGTCTGCAGGCAGGGACCTCACCTACTCTACACCTATTTGCTTAGCATGATTTGATGGGCCCAGTAAAGTCTGCTTTGTCCCTAAAATACCTTTCCTATCATCAGTCCATGCCTGAAATTTTCCCATTAAATAAAATCTCAGTATTTTCGGTTTAAGACTTAAATCTCTAGTTAAGACAAAAATATTCCTGGAAGAGACAGGATTGATCATACCCCCACACTTCAAGTGTTAATTTGTTTTTCAGTCCTTTCACAGAGAGCTGCTTACTCCTCTTCCACAAAGTTGGTAAGGGGGGCCACCCTGCAGAGGGAGGGGTGATGGAGGGAGGCCCCTGGGGCTGGAAGATCAGCCAAGCCTCATCCGCTGACTAAGGACAGTGACTGTTACTGGCAGTGAAGAATGGTTAAGCAACGATGACCCAATTCTGAGAATTTCAGGGTCTTCAGGAGATTTCCTAGGCACAGACAGGTTCTAGTCCTTGTTCCTCGTGCAGTGACAGAGGGCTAGGTCACCTGAATGACATGTGCCCTTTCGTGAAATGTGGGTGGCAAAGATGACTCAATGCTCTCTACCCATGTTGAGAACATTATCTCCCTAATACCTCTGGAGACACTTGCCTCACACCCACTGGGGTGCCGGTTGAGTTTTAATTTTATTTTCCCAGTAGGAGAAAAACCCTTAGCAGCTGGGAGGTTTCCAGACTGACTCTCTCCCAGTCATAGCCCAGGGCTGGGCCGAGTGCTCTTTGACAAAGGAGGCATCCCTGAATATCATCCCTTTCAGGCTCCTTGGAATTTTGGGAAACTCAGACACATACTAGAAGACTGAGCCAGAGAGGGGCTCATTTTTTATTCAAGCCAAAAGAGAGTAATTTGGGCATGAGTAAGTAACCCAGAACCTGGAAGGCCCTGGGACAGTCTGTTCTCATTGGTCAAGGCAGCAAAAGAGCCCAGCCTGTGGCAGCTGAGGGGTCTGACACTATGCAGTCCAGGAGCCTCCAAACATCACGTATGCCCCCCACCCTGTTCCTTGGGGAAGTGGGGAAAACATCAACAAGTGTTCCCAAAGGGGACCTGGTGCCCCCAAAAGGCAGCCAGTGTGCCAGAGGGACATGTGGGGAGCGGCAAGCAGGGGCAGGGAGGTAGGGGGAGCCAGACCTCAGCCTGTTTCTCGGGCTGGCTGCTGCCCCAGGCCCCCTCATCTGGGGTACATAGGCGTGGCAGGGAGAAGTCAGAAGAAAGGGCCCTGGGTAATGGGAAGGGCTGAGCACGCACGGGCAGGCATGCTGTGAGAGTTAGCGTCTGGGGTGACCCCCAGGGCTGGGACAGACACACCTCAAAGCAGCAGGACGCTTAGCACAGCAGCTGAAGTGTGGGAGCTGCGGCTCTCCCGAGGGATGTGGGGGAGCCCTGCTCCCCGGGAGGGTGAGGGGTCGGAGTGACCCATCCCAGCATGAGCAAGAAAGGCAAGGGGGTCAGCCAGGCCCTGGGCCCAGGGGACACATCCAGGCTGCTCAGACCACTCACTCATGACCCGGGGGGGCCCCAAGGAGCCTGGAAGTCTCTGGCTCTTCAGCCGGGCCCCTTGGCAGAACCAGGCCCAGACGGGACTGACTGGAGCTGTTCCAGCTGGCATGGGCTCTGGCCGCCTTGCTCTCCAGAGGACCCAGGCTGAATCCTGCCTGATCCCTTTGGTTTCTCTGGATCCCGGGCCCTCCCTCCTCCGCCCTCACACTCATCCCTGCACTGCAGCAGCGGCCTCCTAACCAGTTTATCAGCCTCTCCCCACTTCTGCTCCTGCACAGCCTGCATGTGAGTCCTCAGGGAGTCACTCACTCCTTTTCCCAGTTGCCCAGTCACTTGGCTCCGGATCCCTCCTCTGCCTGGCTTCCTGCCCTCCACCAACCTGCCCCATCTCCTGGTTTGCCTGCTTTCCTCCCCAGCAGTTAGGACCTGGGATCAAACACTGCTTCCACTTTAAGCAATCATTAATCCTCCTGTGCAAAAGGGGCCTCCCAGCACTACCCTCAGGTCACTGGCAGGATCCCCCCCAGTTGTCTCCAGGTGGGCCCCCTGGCAGGTGTGCAGGGCCTGGGCTCCTCTCCCGGATAGGGCTCCTGGGGCCTCTGGGTGCCACGTCCTGCCCCCTCACACCCCAGCCCTCAGAGCAGTCTGCCTTAGCTACTCCCAGCTTCAGCATCCTCCCGCGGTTCTAAATTCTGGCAGGATTAGAATGCCATTTTCTACAATGGTTCTCTAACCGCTTCAGGAAGAAATGCCTCCCTGTGTTAAAATCTATACTTGGTATTATGGCTGTGTGTATTCTCTGCCCCTCTGAGGCCTCCCCTGCCCAGGTGAATCCCAGGTAAGGGCAGTGGGGGTACAGTGGAGCTTTGGAGATCCATGGTGGTCCTTGGGCCATTTCTTGTAGTCACAAGTGAGTGGGGACCCTCAGCCATGGGGCCATGCACAGAGCTTTCACCTCCTTGAGAGTGAAGCTTCCCTTCTAGGTGAGGGGAAGATGGGGGCAGCAGAGGGAAGGGATCTGCATTCTCCCAATCTCTTGAAATGCCACCCCCAGAGACAGGGGAGCATCCTGCCCACCCACATGCCTTCACTTCTGCCTGAAGCAGCAGCTGGAGTGTGGGAGCTGCGGCTCTCCCGAGGGATGTGGGGGAGCCCTGCTCCCCGGGAGGCTTTGCAGGGCCCCCAGGGCCTGGGAATGCAGCAGGTGCTGGGATGAAGGTGAAATTAAGGCTGCAAGAAAACACTGTGTAAACAGCCCTTGTGGTCCAAACCAAATCCATCAGGCTCAACTGTGGACCTGGTGCCATGGGGCTTCTGCCACGGACCCCAGAATTTTTGGGACCCGTGTCCAGAGAAAAGGGCACTGGAATCAGGTGGGCAGCTGGCTCCATGACGCTTCAGGGTCTTTCCTTGTCCTTCATCCCACACAGCCCCTAAACTCATGTGGAAGCAAGGAGTGCCCTGTGGGAGAAGCGATGCTCCTGGACATGGATACTAGGGAGGGGAGAGCAGGTAGCTGTGCTCTGAGACACAGGCAGGCTGCACCAGGTCCCAGCTAGAACACACACACACACACACACACACACACACCTTTGACCATTTCTCCATCCGTCAGGCCCCAAAGTGGAGAAGAGGCAGGGAAGAGAGAGGAGGATACTCACCCACATCAGCCTGCCGGACGTTCTTCATCCGGATGACCCTCACCGTCAGCAGGTGGCATGGAGACAGCTCCGCCTGTAGAAGGAGAGCAGAGTGGACTCACTACTCAGGCAATGACAGCATGTGGTCTTGACGAAGAGAGCAGCGAAACTGGGCCCGGGCTCCCACTGCCCCGATCAGAAAGCCTCCCGACAGTCTTTCCACATTCCTGGAGGACTCCTCTGGCCCCCAGGAGGCCCAAGGTTGCCACGGTCCCACTAAGGGCCAGCACAGCCAGGAAGGGGGTGAGTTTCATGCTGGTTCTGTCCATGCCTTTCCTGTTTGAATCTGGGGACTGAAGCCCTTTCCCAGGCTTTGGTTAATGCTTTTACCATCCACTCCCATCCTGTGCCCACGGCAGATGCCACTGGACTCCTCACAAAGACTGTAACTGTAGAGGCCGCTTAACTAGATCACTTCACACTCCCCATAATCTACTCTATATTGCTAGAACCACTTTATGCTTTTTCAAGAGCCTGCAATTCTTCTCTACTTAAAATAATATTGGGGTTTGGCGAAGAACATAGGAAGTGTGAAGAGTAAGAGTCCCTATAATCCCACCACTCAGAGTGACCAATATTATCATTTTTTTATGTTAGGATTATTTTTATTTTCAACTCAGACTATCTGCAGATAGGTCATCTCTCTTGGTTATTATCAGAGATAATATGTTTGTATTAGCCAGCATCTATTGAACATTTATTATTTACCAGATATTTCTCTTATATGTTCTAATTCTCATTAGATCTTTATGATAGAGGTATTCCTATCTTTTAAATTTTATTTATTTATTATTTTTTATTAAGGTATCATTGATATGCAATCTTGTGAAGGTTTCATATGAGCAACATTGTGGTTACAACATTTGCCTTTTTTTAAATTGAGATGTGGGTCACATATAACATTGCATTGGTTTTAGGTATACAACATGATGATCTGATACATATATATATCTGATCTGATACATATGATTATAGTGATATAATCAGCATAATAAGTTTAATTATCAACCATCACCTCCCATAGTCACAATTTTTTTCCTTGTCAAGAGAACTGTTATTTTGATGTCTGTCCCTGCAGCCTCTTTTGGGGCTTCATTCTAACCAGCAATGATAGCACAAGGACTGAAGGATATTACTTAGTCCCTGAGATAGATATGTAGGTCACTGTTAGGGTTTTTTCCTCCTCTCTCCCCAACAGCTGCCTCAAAATCAGAACAGAAGCCAAAGTGACAGTGATATGTAGGTCTGAGGATTCCTTTTGTGAGAGTAACAATATTAACAATGTTTGTGAAATATTGAGCATCTTGGTGGTCAATAACTTGCTTCAACAGGATTCTGTTTTGAGCTTTGTAAACTGGCTAAAGCCACACACACCACTTCTCTTCAGCCAGAGCCCCTCTCTGGGCACAGGAGCACCTTATTTCTCACTCCCTACCTGTGCAGAGTGGCTATCCTGGTCTGATCTGTGAGGAGGCAGGAGGCAGCTTTCATGCAGGAGAGCAGCTCTGGCAAAGCCTTTCCCCACTGGCCCACCTTCCTGAGGGCAACTGGAGTTCAAGTGCAGAGCTGCCAGAGGGTCATTTCCTGGTGCTGAAGGGCTGCAAACCAAGGGCCACGGTCCTTCTGGCCATCACAGTCCTCCTCTGGTCTCTGGGAGGGGCTGCCCTCGGCCCTGCCTGGCTCCCTGGTGTGCTCTCTGAAAGCGCACAAGCATTCACAGCTTCCCAAAGGACCTCACTCGAGGTCTCCCTGCCTTCCAGGAAGAGTTCTCTGCTGTCATCTTACCTGTACCTTCCAGTGAGGTTGGCCATTTCTTCCTGCTCTAAATCAGCAACACCCACATCAGCTGCAGTCTGTTGAGTGTCTGCCATGTTTCATATTGCATATATAATCCCTACATTTTTCTTGCTCAATCCTTATAACACCCATAAAGCAGTTAATAGCTTTACTTTACAGTTGGAGAATCTCAGCCTAAGACTTCTGAAACTGGATGTTTTGCTAGAATCAGAGGAACCCAAGTCTGAATTCAAATCTAATTCTTTAGCCTGTGTTCGTACCTCCTACTATATAGTTGCCTTCCGTGAGAGCAGCCCTCGGCAAACAGGGAGACAGGGGTTGCTTGCCCTCATCTCTTCCTCAGTCTTTTCCTCCTAGAATCTATTTTCCCCAACAGATTCTTCTCACTCTGAATTCCTCTAAAGCCCCTAAATCTCCCCCAAACTCTGGTAGTCCTTTACTTTACAGGGCTCTTAACTAGCTACATGAATACCAACACATTCCATGAGCTCTCGTTTTTAAGCAGCCAGAGCACATCAGAGCCTAAGAGTTCTTAGAGAAATTCCATTTTCCAGCAGCCACAAAGCGCTCCTTGGTGGTCTACCTTAAACCTCAAATCACACCTTCTGGCTCAGGAATTTGCAGGAGAGACCCAATTTAAAAGTGTTCTACAAAGTACTCAGATCTTGCCAGCAGACAGACAGAACCTGGCAGGAGATCTGAGAGATGGCCCAGAGGGGCCGGGCTAGGAGGAAGGCAGTGGGAACATGGGACTCAAGTCTTATACCCAGATGATTCTAGGTACCAGGTCCATGAAAACGACCTTCTTGGGTTAATATGAATGTACATACTTTGCTCCTGATATAATGAGCTCAACTGGAGTAGTGCTAGAGATAAACAAAACTTCATGGCCCCAAAGGTAATTGACAGACAATAAAAAATCCAGTAGAATCAAGTGCAATGTCTGTACTATGCAGATGGGCAGAAACCAGTGAGATTATAGAACCCGTTTATGGGATAGCTTATGGTGTGGTAAAGGTTAAAAATTTTGGGGACTTGAACAAGCCCATCCCTAGGACAGGATGCCCTGGATGGGTATCAGGGTGCAATCAAAATATTTCATAGCAGGTGTGCCCAGGCCCTGTGCCAGCCAGACTGCAGCCCTGCAGCAAGGATGGGCATTAACCCTCTGGTGCATGGGAGCCCTGGAGAGTCCTGGAGTAAGGACCAGGGAGCACTCAGGGGGTTGGAGCTCAAGGCAGGAACTCTTTGGTAATCAGAGGCATATTTAACAAGCAGTGATGCTGTTTAGGGAAGATGGACTGGATCAGGATTCTGGGAAGCCCTGTGAGAGAGAGGACTGCAGGCTGCAGACACACACAGCTCCAGTACCCTCCCCTGGTCCCTGGAGCTGGCATTGCCGGACTCCATTTCCCTTCAAGACCTCCTCAGGACAGGGGGATCTTGCCAGCTCACGTGGAAAAGATGTAGCCCTTTAACTCTCAAGTTTGGCTATTACACAGTTCAGAATTACCCCTTCCCACCCCCAGCTCTGTAGATAGGACTTGGGCAGGGAGGTTGGGGGACACAGCTGTTACCCTCCTCTAGTGCGCCAGGTCCTGTGTTTGTTCTCACCTAACCCTCCAACCACACTCTGCATATTCTCACCCCTGCTTTGTAGAGAAGACTGGGTTTAGGGAGGTTGCATCTCTCACGGGGCCACACTGCCCAGAAGTGGCAGGGCCAGGACTGAGGAGCAGGTCTACCTTCTGGCAGCACACTTGCCATCCACCTGGAGGCTGGCTCTCACCCTGAATAACCGAACTGTCTGAAAGCTTAGTCCAGATGCTAGACTAGCTAATAGCAAAGTCAGTAGAACCCTCAGCTCCCAATTTAGGGCTGTCCCTACACTCCAAGAATCTAGCTGTCACCGCAAATCAGTCAGAAACTGTTTAGTTACAGCTGGCCTCCCAGGTCGGGGTGGGTCTGATGTCCACCTCTGGGCCAGGCATACTCTGATCAGCCCAGGCCACGAGCTCGGGGGTGCTGGAGAGGGGCAAACAGCTCCCAGGGGGCCTGTGGGAACTCCCTCCCCAGGGCCTCCCAGGGCAGGCCCAGCTAGTGATGCCACCTCCTCCTCCCTGAGAGCTGGGTGTATCCATCAGGTCCTTCTGACAGCTGTGTCAGAGCTCAGACCAGCCTGCGGAGAGCTTCCAGGACGCGGGGGCCCTCCTTAAAAGGAGACCACTGGCATGGGAGCTCTATGGGATGCCGAACTATTTTCAGCTAGCCTGAGCAGCATCCCAGACCAGGGGTCACCTGGGCGAGCTGCTGCGCTGTTCCTTCCGATCACACAGGCTAGGCGAGGGGCCAGGGCAGGAAGTCCCAGCGCTGAGTCATGGACCCTCCAGGACCTGAGAGGAACAGGAGCAGCTCTCCATTGCCTTCCCCCTTCCTCCGGTAAGCTCTGTCCCTTCCATGGAAGCTCTCTCCTGGCCTAGGTCCCAAGAGGCTCAGCAAGACTGGAGAGGCAGGAGCAAGTGCTGACCAGAGGCCCTTCCAGCCCCCCGAGCACTCTGGAGAGACACAGGCACAGCCCGGAAGGCAGTGTCCATCCCGGCCAGGGCAGCAGAGCACCCAGTGCCGTGCAGCATGGGGGGCCCCCCTCCGAGCTCCTCTCCCGCCCCAAAGGGATGAGATGCTGCCAAGGCATCTCTCATCTCATTCACAAATTTGGTGTGGGCTCGGGGGAGGCTCTGGGGAGGGGAATGAGGAAGAAGCTGCTGACAAGTCTTCCCCATGGCATGCCCATGGCAAATTGGGAGATTGAGATAAAATAGGTAAGTCCATGCAGAGCTGGTCTGCTCTAGAGCCATGACCCCTGAACCTGGCTCTCCCTGTGAGGCCATGAGGAGTGTTATTTAGACCCAGGAGTCTTGACAATAGAGCAGATGGGAGGTTCTCTGCTGATGGTGACAGGCTGGCAATGCCACTGATCCTAACCAGACACCATACCATCCACTCACACCGCATGTCAGTCTAGGATGCACACAGGCATTAGTAAATGCCCGCTCACCACCAGGCTCTCCAATGCAGATCCACCCCTGGCAGTGCTGAACATTGTCTGACTGGGTGCTGGCCTGGCCCCAAGGTGGCCCTGAGCCACTCTCCGGCGCCTGTGGGTACCCTTCGCTGGGCCAGACCACATCCCCAGGGGCTAGTTAGGGGCTGCCTGAGTGGCAGTACTCCATGTGTATGGAGTCTACAAGCCCCTAGCCCTCCCTGAGTCTGTCTGGTGCCCTCAGCTTCTGCCCACCCACCTAGTGCTCCTCCCTCACCTCCAAGGTGCAGGTGGCTGAAGGCCGGCCATCTTCTGCTTGGCAAGGGTCTGGAAGGTAATGGAAGCCCCAGGCGGGTATCTGCCTCGGTAGCATTGCACCAGCTCTCCAGCTGGGTGGCAAGATGGGGAATTTGTACTCTGACTCAGAGCTCCACCCTCTGGATGCCTCTTGGTAGTGGCTGGAATTACCTGGGGAGGAGTTAAGGTGAGTGGATAGATGGGGGCCCAGGCCTCGGCCTCTTACTATCAGGGACCCTCAGGTCTTCATATCTTAGAAATGCAGGGACCACAGGACTGTGGCCCTTGGGATCAGCAATCTGCTCTCCCCAGAAGCTCACAACTACCCGGCTGTTCAAAGGAACAGTGAGTGGCAAGAAGAAGATGCTGGACCCTCACCACCTCAGGATTTGCCAGCCATGATTCGGAAAAACCCTCTCCAGCTTCTCAATATCATGGCTCAGAGAGAGTCACCCGGGGGATGGTGTCTTCCCTCCTAACTCCATTTCGTTCCGGGGCTCAAGTGCCCCAGGAGCTTTGGGAGGGACCTTAGGGGGCAGGGCCCATGGGAGGCAGAGACCACAGTTAGGGCTCCCAAAATTAGAGGAAGACAGAAAATAATTGCCTGATCATTGGTGAGGAGGAGGTCAAGGGCAAGTATCCTCTGTGCACAGCCCCCACTGCCAGAAGGCCAGGAGGAGAGAGCATGTAACCAACCCCTGCCTGTCTGTGCTTAGAGGATGCTCCTGCCCCACCCCGCTGATCCTATCTCTGCCCTGGTGGCTGGCTCATGCGGGGGCCTGGTGAGGTGGCTTCATCTGCTCAGCTGCTCAGCTGGCTACGCTGGAAGTTTCCTGCCTGAGCCATTGCCTGGGGCTCCACAACCGGCTTTTCTTGCCTACAGATTAAAGTTTTATGAAACTGAGGGTGAGAGCCTGAGAGCCGAACACAGGGCTGACTTGGCCTGAAAGCAGGGATGGAACTTGGTCACTGGCATCTGCAGGATCCCTTCCTGTAGCAGGTGGAGGCTTCCCCCTCTGCTCCCCTCTGCATGCCAGGTCCCCCAGAGAGGGGATGGGCCTTAGCCTCTACCCCTCCCCACTTGCACCCTTTTCTGCCCCCGCCATCTACCCCGCTGCTAAAGACCCAAACACAGCACCCACGTCCTTCAGCAGACTCCGCTAAATTCAACTTAGTTCACACACTTAGTGAGCACCTACTGTGTACATACTACCAAGAGAGTAAATGCCAGGTTTGAAATGACTGACAGTCCCAGCCAGGGAGCTGATGCTCAGAGGCCCAGAGGTCCCAGTTTCCTGTGGTAACAGGGGAGATCCTAGAAGGGTCATTATAAATCCTTCACATTTGTAGACTTCTTTGGCTTGGAGAGCTCTGTAAACAAGAGCTAATAACTGGCTAGGGAGCACAGAAGATGGAAAATGAATGTCGGCTGGGAAGGGAAAGTATGGATCTGAGAAAGCTTCATGGAGGAGGTGACATCTGTATTGAGTCTTGGAGGATGGATAGGATTTCAGCAGCTAATGATAGGTGGGAAAGGCATGATAGGAGGAAGGAATGGCCTAAGTGAGACTAGGGAGGCAGGACAGCAGGATATGCTTAGACATGTAAGTGGTCTGTTCAGAGTAGTGGGTTGTGTGGGAGGAGATGTGGAGGGTGAACAGTGGATGGTGGCAGTTGGGCAGAGAGAAGGGAGGCTTTGTGAAGGAACAAATCTGGGATGACACATTAGGGCCCAATAGTTGTGACCCTCAAAGGCCATGCATTACATTTGAACTTATTCTCTAGGCACTGGGGAGCCATTGATGGTTTTTGAGCAGAAGAGTGACATGATTATAGCTGAACTTTGAGAAGGCAATGCTGATCAGTGTTGTAGGTAACCCAACCTACAGCACTCAGTATCCTGAAAGTGATGGGTGGGGGGTATGGAGAGGTCCAGGGGACCTCCTCCCTGAGGATCCCACCTATCTTCCCATCCCCTGCACTCCCTTCCCCTCCCCCCATCAAATAGGCTCTGGGCAAGCCCCAAACTCTAGATATTCCTCAAAGCCTGGCACTTGATCCTCTTGTCCCTGAAGAAGCCCAGCAACAAACACTCCATCCCACCCGTCTCCATCTCTCCTGGCAGAGCATGGAAAACCTAGGACTCCAACCCTTGCATTTCCTCACCATCCATAAATTCCTCAGGGGACAGAGGACTCTGTGCGGCCCGTGGGAAGTGGGCTGGAAAGGTGAGTGAGGAGCACCAGGCAGAGGCAGTGTCCACATGCACCCCCTCCTCTAATCCAACATGCAATTTAAGCTGTTACAGTGTTCTTGGTATACAGCCAATGCTCCAAGTCGAGTCTCCTCTCTCGCCTGCACCCCGCACCCACCCAAGAGTTCCTTCATGTGGCATTTCCACTCTGCACAAAGTGGAAGGGACTGGGTTCCTTCCCCCCAACTACCCTCTGCTCCCTGATGAGCAGGAGCCTGAGACCTCCCCTGAGACCCCCAGCCTGTGTCCTCTGAGGCCCCCGGCTCTGACTGTGGTGGGGGCTTGTTAAAGGACTCTCCCTGAGCAGGGTGACCAGGACCAACCTCTGGGCAGCAGCGCCCTGACCTCAGGTAAGTCAGCAGGAGGAGCACGTTCCTTCCTGTGGCTCAGCTTTACTGCCCCGCGAAGCCAGCAGGGATGAATTCCTCACCTCTCCTCATTCAGACCTTTGCCTCTCTCGGACTCATCCCACGCACACCTGCGGGTGGGTGAGCTTTGGAACCACCCCGTTCAAACTGCCCTTCTCCTGCTCAAGTGCAGCTAATGCTTTTCCACTCATTGCCAATGGGTTCTGGATCCCAAAATCTTTCATACACCAAGTAGGGCCCAGAAACAACCCTTTGTATATAAGACATTTTAGAATACGAAAAAGGAGCTTTTTCAAGTAGTGATGAAAAGATTGGAAAAACTAGCTTACCATTTGGAATAAAATAGTTAGATCCCAATTTCATAACTACACAAAAGTAAATTCCATGAAGATTAAATACCTAACCGTTAGGATTAAAATATAGAAGATTTAAAATAATATTTTGGAGAATATTTTTGTAATATTGGGATGAGGAGGATCTTTGTAAATAAGGCACAAAACCTAGAAGCCCAGAGGGAAATATCACCAGACTTGAATATACAGAAAAGTAAAACTTCAGTAAAGCAAAAAGAGGCCATAAGCCCATTGTTTCCTCCTCTTAATAATTATCCATGGATATCAAAACCTACCCTTAAAGGACAACAGTAAAGAGGAGATTCTTGCCCTACCAGACACTAAGGTAAACTACAAAGCCACACTAACACAACAGTATGTTGTCGGTACAAGAACAGGCCCAAGGGAACAAAATAAAGGCGTCAGAAGCAGACCCGGACATTTAAGGGAACTTAATATATGATAAAATTGGTACTACAAAGCAATAGGAAAATAACAGACTGTTTAATAGATGGTATGGGCATGAGTGGCTCACTATATAGAGCAAATAAAACAGGATTCCCACTTATGCCATATAAAAAGATGAGTTGTAAATGGGATCAACACATGAAATGGAAAAATACAAAGTTAATAGAAGACAATGTAGAAGAATCTATATTTAATCTGGGGACAAGAAGGATGTCTTAACACTTAGAAACCATGAACCATAATGCAAAGCTTTCTAAATTTGGTTACATAAGAATTAAGAATTTCTGTCAACTAAGAGTACAGAGAAAAGATTAATAGTTGACAGAATGATAGCAGATATTTGCAGTGCATCTGAAAATCACCAAAAGATTCATATCTAGTATATACAAAGAATTCTTATGTAACCGATGAGAAAAGGATGGCCATGCCAACATAAAAATGGACCAAAGATTTGAACCTGCAATTTATAGGCAGGAAACCCAAAAAGCTAATACGCAGTTAAAGAGATGCTAAGAGTATTGGTAATGTGGGAAATGCAGAGGGAAATGCAATTTAAAACAAGATTTCCCTGCAGTTATTAAATCGGAAACACGGAGAAAGTTGGATACTGGTTGCCTTTTTATCAGGAGAGAATGGGGAGGATGTGTGGACACTGGGAAATAACCAATCCAGAAGGCAAA